TTTTAGGTGCGAATTTATAAAATAAAAAGAAAATTTTGATAATAGAAATTAGTTTAAAATTTAATTTTTAGATTATTAATGTTTATTGATAATTAAAAGAGGAGTTAAAAAATTTTATTTAATAATATTAACTCTAGATTTGTATTAAGATTGAGATTAGGAATTATGTTATATTTTTAATTCTATTATTAGAATTATTTTATTAGTTTCAAAAATTGAAACTAATATTTATAAATAATATGTTATTTGTAGATTGTATTACTGGTGAAGATTGTGGTGAGAGAGAAATTTTAAGAAATAATTTATTAAAAAAGCCACAAGGTAACCATGCTTTTAATTTGTGATTAGTGTTACTTCATGTTAATTGGGTGATTATTGAGAAAATTATGAATTTTGTAATATTGTATAATTGTGCAATATTATTATGAATTTGTTTGATTATTGTGGGAGGTGTTGGGAGACTTGCTATTATTGTTGTATTTATGTGCCACGTGGCACGCCGCTATTGAAGCTCAATAGGTGGCTTGTAAGGGCTCGGGCTAATCTACCTTTGGTCGGGTAATTTAGCACCGAGTGAGGGCTACGGCTCGAGGTTAATGGAGGGATATAAGGATGGTTATTTGTGTGTATTGTAATATTTCTTATATTTTGTTGGAATTATATTATTTTTGGTTCCTACTTAGTAAGCACACACTTAACTGTTTGTACACACTATCATAAATTAGCTTTGGTTACTGGGACTTTTGAGTCTCATTATGTGGTTAACAATTTTCAAGAGAAGAGCCACGAGTGACACGTGGAGGAGTCCCAGAGGCTTAGTGGCATAGATCCACTGTCTCTTTTGGGTATTTGATTTATGATTTATAATGTGTTATATTGCCAATATTAGGGCTTTTTGTTTATTGACAATTATATGAATATATAAATGTAATTATACCTTTCAAACTATTTCTATTTTTGGTACACTTTAGATGACTGTAATTTTAATATTTGATTTACTTTGGATTGGTTAAAAGGGCATGATTATGAGGCCAAATAACTGGCTTGTATTGAAAATTGACTAAATTATTTATTTTACTTGTTGGGAGTATAAGGATGGACAAATGTGAATTAGTTTACTTGTTGGGAGTATAAGGATGGACAAACGTGATTTAGCCTAATGGCATGTGGGAGGTAAAAATTTATCTAAAATGTTATATTGTGTGAGTTGAAGCCAATTATAAAATATTTTATATTAAAATTATTGATATAAAAATGTGTTGGGTGGTTGTAACCCAATTATAGTTGAGTTAAATTATTTTTAAAAAAATTGGTGTGTTACAATATTCATTTATCTACATGTGAAAGCTTGGATCACCTTAATCGGAGTTCTAAGTGATTAATTATGCATTTTGAAAGTTAATCTCTACATGTGGTAAGTAAGTAATTATGTGTTGGCCACTACAAGTGTGTCTTGTATGTGATTGGACCAAACATACACGCACTGATTCATGCACACCTTTAGTGGTAGAATTACCTGACTAAATGTGTTCTGTCTTACTTTTAGTTTATGAATTCCCCTTATCGCGCTCACGATTGGTGTGTTGTTACTCAAACACCGCATCTCACATATGCTAAGGAGCATAAATCTCCAACATTGCACCTGTATAAGGACTAAAGAGAGAGTCTCAAACACTATATCTGTATAGGCATGAAGGAGAGAAATTCTCCAACATCATACTCCGTAAGGCACCTAGGGGGATACATGCCATATGTTTTTTCACTACTCCTTCTTATGTGTGAATTCTCACTCCTAACATGCTCATGCCTTTTTCACACCTTACAAATACATTTCTCTAGTATATTCCATATATATATATAAACTAACCATAAACACACTTTAACTTTTCCAAAACCCTGTTCTTAAATAAAATAACTTATAGGTGAAATTATTTTTAATCCAAATCATGCAATCACATATAATATATTACACATTTACTCATATGCAGCTAAACTAGTTAAGGAATAGAATGAATTAGTCAGTTACCTTAACCTTTCTATCACTAAAAAGGATTACCTGTGGTTTCTCTTAAGTAATTAACTTCCATAATCCAAGTCCACACACACAATTACATTAACCTACACAAAGTAGCATTATTAGTCAATTATCAAATTGACCATAAGTACTAATTATCACTATTAATAGCTATTAACCTTTTAACCATTCTCACTTAACCATTCCAAATCCTAATCTTCCCCTCACACCCTTGTATCACTTCTACTGATTTTAATATGCCTCACCAAAACTTCCACCCTTTCTCAACTCATCTTCCCTTGTATGATTTGTCCTGAATTTTCCTCATCCTCTAAATCACGCGTGAAATCTCTCTATACACACGCGTGAAATTGCACCCAAAAGCCTTGTTTTGTACTGAATAGCCTTTATGCCAAATCACACATGAAGCACCTTGTACACATGTGTGAAATAACTGCCAGAGCTTTGCTTTTCATTCTATAGCCTTTGTGGTTCAAAACACATGTGAAACACTTTGTTCCCTTACATGATATACCATATCTTATGTGATTTGTTAGGTTCCTGAGCAAGATATGTCACCTATTCATATGAAACTCCAAAACACATATGAAGCACTTCCAAAACACATGTGATATGTCACCTTTGCTTGAGAAACCTCCAAAACACATGTGAATTAGCCTTTGTTCCTCACAATATTTTGCATTAATGGTTATAATCACTATGTAATGTCTCTAAACAGTCATCTGATGTCTTTAACATTTATTTCACTCCATGGGCTATAAATTTAACACTTTAAACTCATCTTAAAAAGTGATTAACCTCAAAAATTATTAAGTTATGAAATTCATGATCATATTACTCTTATTATATGAAAATAATTGTTCTTAAACTTATATCATTTATATCTTTATCATTTGAGTATTAGAGCTTCATTGTACTCATTGTTACTCTTAGAAAGAGTTTCAATTGAGTGATTTATATACTCAAAACCATTGTTAAGATGAGGAAGAGATTTTTCTTGTAATCAAAAGAGGTTATTTTGGAAAAGAAGCTCACTAGTAAAGTGAGTTAGTGTAAAGGCTCACAAGTACTAAACTAAACTTGTTGATGTACTAAGATGACAAGCACCCACTTAAACTTGTGTTATAGTAGAGAAATCTTAAATGATTGCTTGAGGACTGGATATAGGCTCAAGTGGTGAAGTCGAACTAGGACAAATCATAGTTTGCACTCTCTCTTCCCTTAACTCTATATTTCCAGCAACCTTAGTTAATGCTATGTTTTAGCGTATGAAATTGAATGACATTTCTACATGCTCTTATGTAAACTTTCACATAGATTTTGTTTTTACACATATTAAGATTGTGAAGATCACTTTAGCATTCTTGCAATAAGAGTTTGGTACTTGAATTTGCCTAAACTTTTCTTTGAACACAATTTTGATGAAAAGTTTTTGGAAGAACCAAAAATTCCTTAAGCACCCAATTCAACCCCCTCTTGGGTGTGTTGCTATATCTAACATAGTGTGCTGCGATGGATGGCACCTTCACCATAATGCATGATACTAAGAGGCTCGTCGTGGTGCATTATTGCATTGGCTGCAATGGATGTCCTCGAACTTTTTAATCACTGCAGATAAGCCCTCTTGGCCACAGTGGACGAGTCTATTTTAGGAAAAATAACTTTTTAAAATATGATCTTTAAAGCTTTTAATTGTAAAATGAATTTACATGCTTTCATGTGCTCTTATACCCTAATTTATGTTTTAGTTGGTATTGAAATATTTTGGAAACTTGTCCTTTCTGGAGTTCCAAATAATTTATAAGATGTCATTTTACTAATTTTCAATTTAACCTTTTCTAGTATCTAATATATAATTTTAATCTTTTATATCCTAATAAAGTCTTTTCTACCACGATAAAGTCTACTTTTTGTTATCTTGTTAATTTAAAATTATATGTTTATTTCTTTCAACTACATTATTATGATTAGCTTTTTCTTAATTTTAGTTAATTCTTTTCTGTCATAGTAAGTGATTAGGGTAGCTAATCCCTGATTACTATAGTAGTGCTGGGTTTTATGGTTGATTGTGAGGAGTAAATTAGACATTTTACAACATCCCCATTCCTTCTCTGATTTCTTAATTGGGCAACGTATTTCCTTCTCCATCATAATTTCTGAAATATTTTGAGATAAAATAACACATACTACTAAAACTTATTAAATATATGTTACAATTTTATTTTTTCAAAACAGAAATATTATTTTTTAAAAAATATTATTTATTCAATACTTCATTTAATGAGAGATACTATAATAGAAAAAATAATATCAGAAAATCATCATTAATGAAATATTGTTTTTATTAAAATGCCCCATATTTTGGGTTTTTAAATATTCCTAAAATTGTTTTATAAATTGAGATGAGTGTAGCATTTGTCAGGACATTTTAAGCCTTACAAAAAGATGCTTCTCCCATGGCCTTTTCGACAATTCGCAAAAGGGAAAGAAAATTATCTTTTTGTGGTTGATGAACCAAACCTTTAAATTCAAAATTCCCGAAAGTGCGACGTTTTATGCTTGTGCACCATGAAAAGAAAAAGGCATTATATGTGCCACAAAGCCAATTATCCTACAAATGTGATGTATTTTCTTCGTAGAGTAAATAAAAGGGATCGAAGAAGATAAAGACTAAAAAGGAAAGCAAGGAGCTTGGCTTACGTAGAAAGACTCGGAGAACAAAGAATGGCAAAAACTATACTAAAAGTGGTCAAACTGATTGGGGTTGGGGATTGCGAGCCTGCAATTTCGGCCCTTGATTCGTTTCCGCCTTCTTTAGCACTCCCATCTGTGCTTCCTTCAACATATGAAAATTCTTCACTAAACCACGGCCACAAGCTATTCTTACCTTGTTCACTAAGTCACATTTCTTCTATTCTTCTTAATCTCTTGCTCTCCAAGTTTGTAGCATTCCGAGACACCCGAATGGAGTCTTTTTCCTTTAGCTCCGAAATACCCACATAGTTAAACTCATTCTGCCATGCCCAACCCAATCACTCGCTCCCTTTCTATTCCCTTGACTCTGTTCTTGATTTGCAATTCTGTCATTCCACAAATCTGGGTCGTTTCAGGTTCCTCTGTTCACGATAAGCCCTTCCACAGACCGGACCCTCTGCGACGTTTTAAACATTACAATGGAGGTTTTGATATTCGAGACAAGCATTACCTTGCTGTAAGTGGTTTTTCAGTTCTTGACACATTCTATCTTCTGCCATTAATTGATTTTGCGTATTGCTTTCTGATCCTTTTCAGTCTGCGGCATTTACAGGAGTTCACGGCTACGCCATTGCCGGAGTTTGGTTAATGTGTGGCCTGGTCTTCGGTATCTTCCTGATCGTCAAGTGTCTTTGCCGTGGCTCTGGTTCATTACCCTTCAAAGACTGTTTGGACCACCATCATATCCTCCTTTTCTTGCTGATTCTCTTTTTAACTTCTCTCGCCATGTAACCCCGCAATCCCTTTCTCTTTTTCTTCGAATGCTCCGTTTTGAATTACACTCAGACTTGAATATATACTTTTATGCGTGACAGAGTTGCCTCAAGTTTCGTGTGCGTGACAAATCAGAAGACCCTGAAGAGAACAGAGAAGCTGAAGGATTCAGTGTTGGGCATAGGAGAAGATGCTCTAGGGACACTACGAAGAGTGATTAAAAAGATGAAACAAATGCAGTTCCTTCTCCTTCCATACAACCAACAGATAACTAGGAATTTGAACACTACCATTGAAAGTTTCAGAAGCGACTCGCGTGTGATCCGTCGTTTTCTCGACTCAAGTGGACGTATCTTCGACAAGGCCATTCATACTTCGTATGACTTTATTCGTTTTGTCGATGCTAGTTGCTTGATCTAAATCAAAGAGTTTCTTGATCATACGCTTCATATTTTCCGTAGATATATTGCTCATCTTGTTGTTGTGGCCGTCAACGTAGCAATGTTGATTGCAGCACTAGGTAAGCGCAATCCTGTATGAGGTCAACTTAACTATATGTTGTTGCCAAGTACAACACATGCTCATCAAACATTTGATTCTGTCTCAGTTCTGCTGCTGCTGCTTTGGCGTCCTGGATTTATCACGTAAAATAGACAGTGTATTTTGTGTTTATGATCTTTAGGGTTTGAACTCTGAGTTTTGCTATGATTCTGCAACATGTGACAACGTGGGTGTTTTGCTGTTTCAGCATAATTTTCTGCTGCTGGATGTTAACAAGCCTGTGCTGGGTCTTGACCGGCTTTGATTTTTTCTTACACACGTGAGCGAGCAAATCATTGTTCATACTTGAACGCCACATATTATACGTGTTTAGTAAAATCGTTCATGCAGTCTTGCAGAAGATGCGTGTTTTGCTTTTGAGGAATTCGAACAGAATCCACAAAACAGCAGCCTGAGTTCGGTGTTGCCATGCATGAAAGACTCAGACGCAGCGAAGCTCATGACTCGAATAGGCTTCACAATTCACAACTTCATCTCAGAGGTATCGAAATCTAATGTTGCTTACCCCGAGCACAAAACATTATTGTTCTAATTAATGAATCTCATTTTTGTGTGTGTGTGTCACAGTTGAATGCTAAAATGTCAGAGATTTATGGTATATTGGGAATAGATAAGCAGGCACAGCAAATGATAGGAATCATAAAGATATGTGAACCTTTTACAGGACCACCAGATTACAGCTACATTCCAAACGCCTGTTCTCAAAATGCCATTCCCGTTGGCGACTTACCAAAAGTAAGTCTTTCTTTTTATTACCAAATTAATATTCGGGTGAATTAAGATAGAATATTGAAACTATGTTTTGGCCAGATTCTAGCAAGATTCACATGTGGGGGAGAGGAAAAAGCAGAAGATTGCGAGAAGGGAGGGAAGTTTCTTCCAGAAGCTTCGTACAACATAGCTCACGCTTACAGTAGATCCGTTCAGGATTTTCTGGACATATATCCAGACTTGCAAAGCCTGTCAGAATGTTCTTTTATCAAGAACAAAATTTCTGAGATTCTGTTGCACCAATGCAGACCGTTGAAACTTGCACTCAGATTGTTGTGGGTGTCCATGCTATCTCTCTCCATTATCATGCTCGTCTTGGTGTTCGCGTGGCTAGCACGCGCTTTTCTCTGCTCCAACAGCTCATCCCTCTCCATGTTTTCTAGAACTAGAGCCAGAACTCCCGAATCTGGATAGATGGGAACTAGGAAACATTTATTTATTTGTAAAGGTAGAATGCAAAATTGAGTTAGATAGATTTATTAAGATATGTTTCTGCTTTTATTTTGATTTTTTAATCTTTAAATTTATTAAGATTATGTGAATATGAGAATAAGAGACGAGTTGCAGTGCTTCTAGCTCTAGGCATCCAGCTGGTCGCAGGACGAGCCATGGAAGATCAAGTGTACATACATGGATGAGAGTGGTCATCTTCTTCCTCTTCTTTTTGGGATGAAAAGAGTGGTCTATTTGATTGTACATATTTTTATAGGATAAATAAGATATGGTTAGTATTGCTATCAATTTTACGTGCCAATACAATTCAGATTTCTTCAGAGAAAAAGTTTAGGAGGGGGGTGGGGTTGTTAGCGTCATTCTTCGTAGATGCATGTGAGTGAGATTATCAAAGGAAAAACAATAGGTAATTGAACACTGTTAAACTGACCCTTGATGATATTGATATGGCTTGTGGAGTTTCAATTTTTCTACCTTAAATAAATTATAACATAGAATGCTGAATAATATAAAATATAAATAAAAATTAAATATTTTACCCATTCTTAACTTGGAATCTTGGATGATGATCTGACTTGGTTGGCCTAGAATCCTTCTCGTGTACTTCTTATTTGATTTTCCCCTCAACTATTAATATTAAATAACAAGAAGAATAATAATTTTTTAGGACCTTGTTTATGATTTTAGATCTTTTTATACTCCCTCCGTTTAAAAATATAAGACATTTTTTGAAGAGTTGGATATTAAAAAATATAAAACATTTTTAGTATTTCATTACTTTTTTTAAAAGTACCTCTATTGAATAAATCACTTCATATTTATTTTAGAATTAAACACTCTATTAAATAGAGGTAAATATGAAAATATAAAATTAATTTAATAACAAATAACTACTTTATTAGGGTGAGATTTTATTAAAAATGCTTTTCATTTTTAAATGGAAGGAGTATAATTTTATGATTAACTAATTATTGCTATGGGTGATATTACACTATTTTTAAAAGTTGAATAGAAATATTAAACTAAAAATAAGTTTAGAATTCTAAATATTCCTAAACATATAATTGAAAAGTAAAATTGTTAGTTAACAACAACAACAATAAAGCTTTCTTAGATGATCAGCTATAAAGCCTTTCCATTTCTTAATGAAGGTCGTGGTCTATATAATTCCTGATGAAGAAATAATCACCTTTTGTTCGTCCCATTTGTTTTTTTTTTTTTTAGAGGCGGGTAGGGGGCAGTGGGCTATAAAAGTGTTATTTGAATGCTTAATAATATGAGTGCTTCACTTGATTTTCTGTAAGTTGATGCGTAAAAGCATGTGCTTTAGATGTTATATGAACAACATTTAATATTAATGATGGAAAAATGACAATTAAAGATATCATAAGATCATAAATTATAACTAGGGACATTAAATTATTGAAATTTCAATAATAAACCATAATCCTTATTTGTAATTAAAAACATGAGTTTAAAATAAAAAAATACTGTTAAAATTACTATTACGAATTGGGATTATTATTAATTTTAATTGAAAAAACTAGGAACCACACTTGAGAATGGGTTGCTTTTTCAATATAAAATTAAAATTCACTTGTCAAACCTTAGTGTCACAGGCTGAGAGTCTGGCACAGCACACGACGCCCGTGCGGCGTCCTGGAGGACCCCATAATCCTCAAGACAAGCCTTACCACATACGGATCACACTGGTTTCGCCCTGCCATGGGCTCATCAGGGAGGCGGCACTAGCCCCCGACCAATTGTGCACTCAGTCCGAAAACTGAGGCAAAACACCCCCAATGCCAATGTCGCCCCCTTTACCCATATTGTGCGAGGCTAACCAGCGGATCGTTCATTATCTTGGTCTTTACACGGTCACGGAGATATCATCCGTGACATTCTCCCACACCCAATCTAGCACGCCCTCGTGCTAGGGGAGAACGACTCCGCCTAAGGATCGTACGTACAGTACTGCCACAAACACATCAACTTACTGCTAAGTGGCCACCCGAGTCCTGCACTCTTCGGACCCACTCGCACCCGCGAGCCAATAGGAGTGGAGTCGACAACGGCCAACCTTCCCGCTCGAGTCCCCACTTTTGGACCCACCTGCTCGGAGGCCTTTCTGGAGCGGTGCCGAGGTCGACTAGTCCCAACGTGGGACCCCACAGGCACACGGCAGTAAAGTACGTCCTGCTCTGATACCACTTTGTCACGAGCTGAGAGTCTGGCGCAGCACACGGCGCCCGTGCGGCGTCCTGGAGGACCCCATAATCCTCAGGACAAGCCTTACCACATACGGATTACACTGTTTTCGCCCTGCCATAGGCTCATCAGGGAGGCGACACTAGCCCCCGACCAGTTGTGCACTCAGTCCGAAGACTGAGGCAAAACACCCCCAATGCTAATGTCGCCCCCTTTACCCATATTGTGCGAGGCTAACCAGCGGATCGTTCATTATCTTGGTCTTTACACGGTCACGGAGATATCATCCGTGACATTAGGCACTTATAAATATATAATAATCACTTGAAAATTTATCAAATTTGTTTCAAAATGTAAAGCCAATTACTCATGAATTTTTATGTTTGTCAATATATAGGTGAACTATTTGAAAAATTAAGAAAAGACGCTTGTCAAATTACTATCATGGGTTGGAATTATTATTAATCTCAACTGAGAAAATCAGGATCTAAAATGTTATGGATTGAGACTATTAAAATTACTATAATGGGTTGAAACTATTGATAATCTCATGTTCAAGTGTGAATCCTTTTTTTTAACTAAGATTAATAATAATCCTAATCCATAATAGTAATTTTACTAGTGTTTTTTTTCTAAATTTTAAACTCATGTGTTTTTAATTTTAAGTAAAGATCATAATTCATTATTGAAATTTCAATATTTCAAGGTTCTCAATTGTAATTAATGATCTTATAGGGTATTCAGTTGTCATTTTTCCATTAATCATCTAAGCAAGGTGATGAAATAAAATACAAACTAAAAAGTGGACAAAATATGATACCTTAATAGTATAGGTTTGCAGATTGTAGGAAATTATAAATAAACAATATCTCAAAAAGGAGTCGAGTCTACTTAATTAGCCAACTACCACACTAGATAGGACTATTATAATCTTTTTGAATATACACAGCAGATAAATCAAAAAGAGAAAGATTAAAAAAAAGGACAAATACTAAAAAATGGATATTAGAGTTGAGTTTTCCTTTTAGGTTATTTATAACGTGGGAGGCTGGCATTAAGAGGGAAATCATAGTTATTATAATTCACTTTATAACAGAGAGAATTAATGTAATGAAATATTTCACAATGAATTTGGGAAAAACTTCTTATTTTGAATTCAATTATGAATAAATTCACCACTATATTAACTTGTGATGTTCAGTCAACTCTCATTAAACCAGAATATATCAAATATATACTCATTAATTTGATATAATTACCAAAATCACATCAAGGAGCGGATCAATAACTTCCCACTCACATAAACCAAGTTGGACAAGATTGATTATTATCAAGTTGAGACCGAGTTTAAGTGGACTTAGGTTTTGTAACATCATAATTTTTAAATAATAAATAAATTATAAAATTTAAATTTTTACTGAGAATTTAAAATTAAAAATTCATATTGTTTTGATGTTTAAAATAAAAAAATTTATATTCAAGGTTATTTGAAATTAATAACATGCTTAAGCATTTGATTATGAATTAAATTTAAGCTTAAAATTATATAAGAGTTATTTATTAATTTAGTTTATAATATAACTAAAAAATAAAATAAAATATATATTTAAAAAATAAATAAATAATATAAAAAAGGGGACAAAAGTCAAAAACTACTTTCGATTGTTAATGACTTGTGCCCCCTTAAAATATATAAATATATATAATAGTAAATAATAAAATAAATAATTGTGAGACCTATGTCTCATTATAAATAAATAGCACATCTTCCTTTTTTTTTTTTTTTTTTGCACAGCCTTCTTCTTCTCTCTCTTTTTTCCTCATTTCGTTTCAACTTCAGCGTCTTCTTCTCTTGGTAGCGTTGTTTATTTTATTTAAGTAAGATTCTAAATTTTTAGATCATTTAAATATTCAAAATGACTTTTATTTTTCAAGCTCTCTTCACAAATATTTTTTTCTCATCAAGAGCTATTTGACAGTAGTATTATATTGATGAATAGAGAAATTTTTTTGATTGAGATTTTTTTATAGGATAGTTAATATAAAATTATGATTATTTAAAAATAAATGTCGAGGTTGCTGGAAGCGTAATAAATATTAAAAAACTTTTATTTAAGGGTGGAGCTCAAATTTGAGAACTTTTTAGTTAAACTCTAAACTTAAACGTTTGAGTTTATTTTAGATATGAAATGTTGTGATGAATTTCTGATTATTAGATATTGATTTGAGTATGAGTAAATATTTTCTAAGGCTATGAAACGGTTATTCGAGGCTTGAGAATTTTTTTGGATGAATTTTTGGTAAATAAATTGATGAAATATTGATATTAGGATTGATTTAAGACTTAAATATAGTTTTTTTGAGTATAAAAATTTTAGGAAGAAATTTAAAAAATTAAATGAGGCACGGACTTTAAATTAGTGTTAATATAAAAATTAGACCTAAACTTTCTAACTCTTTAAATTAAAATTATTTATATCTTTCAATATAAAATTAATATTTAATATTATGAAATTAATATTACACATATATTATTAAATAGTTGTATAAATTGTGTTGACTAAGAGAGTAATGAAAAAGGTGTTGTCCAAGAACATACTCTAATCAGTTTAAAACAACCAAATAAAATTATTTGGCGCATTCTTCTATCAACTAAACAATTGATCTTTTGCTTTCAACATATCAATATTCACAAAATATTTATAAATATAAAATTTAACTCATTTGAGAATTATGTTATTTCTCAACAAAAATCAAGATTTTTCAAACAACAAAACAAATACACAATTAATTACACACACGTATATTATTATACATTAATAATGGTTACCTCGTGTCTTAAACAAGATGTTTCCCTATACAACACCTCTTTCATCCCTTTTTTGGTTAACACAATCCACATAATCATTTAATAATATATGTATAATATTAATTTCATAATACTAAATATTAATTTTATATTAAAATTAATAAATAATTTTAATTTAAAGAGCTAGAAAGTTTAGGCCTAATTTTTATATTAACATTAATTCAAAGTCAGTGCCTTATTTAATTTTTTTTTTAAAATTCTCATATCCCAATAGACTATATTTAAGTCTTAAATTAATCCTAATGTCAAAATTTTATCAATTTATTTTCCAAAAAATCGTACAAAAATAAATTAAAAATTTAAAAATTATTCTCAAACCTCGAATTACCATTTTATAACCTTAAAAAATATTTATTCATACTCAAATGAATATCTAATGATCAAAAATCGATCACAACATCTCATATCTAACATAAACTCAACCATAGAGGTCTAGAATTTAACTCAAAAATTCTCAATCTTAAAGAAAATTTCTTTAGTGTTTATTACACCCTTAGTAACCTCAACATTTACTTTTAAATCATTATAACTTTATATTAACTATCATATAAGAAAATTTCAATCAACAAATTTTCTCTATTTATCAATATAATACTATTGTCAGACAGTTCTTAATGAGTGAAAATATTTAGAAAGAGAACTTGAAAAATGAAAGTAATTTTAAACACCTAAATAATCTAAAAATTTAGAACTTTACTTGAATAAAATGAATAACATTGAGAGAAGAAGAAGATGCAAAAGTTGAAATGGAATGAGAAATGAAAAAAAAAATAGAAAGAAGGCTATATAAAAAATAAGAAGGAAGATGTACTATTTATAATAGAACATTGGTCTCATAGTCATTTATTTTATTATTATTTATTTTATATATATATATATATATATATATATATTAAGTGGCACAGGTCATTGACTTTTGTCCCCCCTTTTTATATCATTTATTTATTTTTTAAATATTTATTATTTTATTATTTTTATTGTTTTTTAATTATATCATAAATAAAGCTAATAAATGAATCTTATATGATTCTAAGTCTAAATTTAATCCATAATCAAATGTCTAAATATGTTATTAATTTCAAATAACTTCGAATATAAATTTTTTTATTCTAAACCTCAAAACAATATAAATTGCTATTTTTGAATCATTAATAAAAATTTAAATTTTATAATTTATTTATTATTTAAAGATAAAGGTGTTATGAGTTTAGCTTTTGAGTCCATGACTAGATCAGCCAAAAGTTATTGCGCATAAGAATTGAGATATACATTTCATAATTATATTTTTTTATATTTCCTCGTGCATCTACATTTGGTTAATTTTATAAGAATTAAGATATACATTTCATAATTATATTTATCAAATATTTATTCTATCTCCTTATGCATCTACATGTGGTTAATTTTATATTTAGTTTTGCTTCTCACAAAATTATTTTAGAATAAATGTGTATTTTTGCTTTTAAAGTATTCTCTGAAGAGTATCAAACATCTAAACTATTGATTTGAATAGTTTTACCCTTAAAGTAATTAAAATAGAGCATTTTTACTCTTGCTGTCAAATTTTTAATGTTGATCGTTAGAAAATGCTAACTGAAACTCCGATTAGAATAGGGAATAAGGGCCAAACTTGAAGAATTAGGCTTGAAAACTTTGTTTAAATAAAGGTTCGAACTTGAAAAATGAGTGTTTTTTAGGGTAAGCAGGCTTCAGGGCCCTGCCCTGGTAAACCCTAAAAAGAGACTTTAGCTTGGGTGGCTTCCAAGCCCTGCTCTATTTTTTTCCTTCTACCTTGGAATGTATTATTTGGAAAATAAGAAAAACCTTAAGTGTTCAATCATTCTAAATTCTCTAACTTTCTTCATCTCTTGATTCAATCTCTCCTTCTCTCTCTCTCTTCTTTCCTCTAGCCGTCTCACCACTCTGCTCGTCCTCTGGCTCTCTCTGGCTCTTGACTCACCTCTTCCTCTTGTCTTGACTTAGCATCTCCCTCTTAGTGTTCCTTTACTTTGCCTTTTTTGCTCTCTTACTTTTAAGTAATTTCTCTTTTAGCATAAACCTTTTTGTAGGTTATAGATGTCTAAGATTTCAATTTAATTATCACTTTTAAGATTTTAATTTGATTTGAAAATTCTGACCCCCATCTTATTCTGTGAGGATTATATCAATATGCTTAATATGTTTTGTTTCTGAAACTTTGTTGTAAATTGTGATGGTATCAACTAACATGTATTTAAACTTTTAAATCTTTTATTTGTTGATAAAAAAAAATCTTTTATTTAGTTTTTAGGTGATGTGAGACCTTAATTTAGTTTATATTAAATTCTAGAGTTAAATATTATGATGTTGAATTAAATTATATTTTAGAAGAACAATATTAAATTATAATGTTATTCTTTTATTTTTTTTCAAAATTAAATTTCTGGGCCTATCCTTGAACCCTTTTAATAAAAGTCGAACCTTAGGATTTGGTCAAAAATTAAAAAATTGGGTTTCAAGCCTGAACCTTTAAGGGTTAGTCCCAACTATTTTCACATCTCTAACTCTAATGTTGATCATTAGGAAATTTAACAATGACAAAAATGTTCCATTTTAATTATTTTAAAAACAAAATTAATTTGATTAATAGTTTAAGGTATTGAATGCTCATCGAAAAATACTTTATAAATAAAAATGCACATTTATCCTTTATTTCAAATACAAGAATGTCTTATTACAGTGATAAGGGAAATGGCCGAGAATGAGTTATTGTTAAGATAAATATATTTAGTGCTAAGAAGATCAAGATAATAGCTGAAAATTTTCTAAAATATTATTTTTACTTCTAGTAATGCCCAATCACTATGATAGGTCATTCCATGTTTTTAATTCTAAAATTGTTTTAAAAGTAACATAATTAAATATACTTTTATTTTGTTTTGTCATGAAAAAATTTACAAAATAATTTCTTAAAAACAAAACTAAACAAAAATCTGTAGAAACTAGATACCACTACACAAGAAAGTCAAAAAAAGGATTTGAGTGGTGCCCTTGGATTTCCCGATGCTACTCCTTGTTCTGAAGGTTACTATATACCAGGAGACTATACTACTATTATATATATGGGTATATATTTATATTGGATATATTACAAATGATGAGTTGTTGCTAACTGTACCGGTGTGATTGGAGGTTGACAGTAAATTATTGAGAATATCAATATCAACGGCTAATGAGCTCAACGAAGAAAGCGAACGGCGAAAATAGAAGGCAAGACAAGAGAGGCAAACGCAAAGAAGGCTCGTTATGTCGAAGCTTCTAGCCTGTCTTTACTCTTTCGAGACATCCGCACCAAAAAGCACCGTCTGATAGTGCAATTGTAGATTTGGTCGCAAGTCAACGTCATCAACCTCAGATCGAAATTTCTCCCAAGCTTAACTACCCCAGAAACCCAACCTTTGCTAATTCCATTTTCATTTTCATTTTGCTCCAACTCCCTTTTCTGTTTCTCTTCGCCACCAGCCTTTTATTGCGGCTGCGAAGTGAAATCGGTGTAGTTTGGTGGTCGCGGTGCTGTTATTCTAACTTTAAAAGCCGCAGGGAATACTCATGTTCGGGAGTTTTGCTCAGTTCATAGTTCGGGTGGCATCACGTAAGTCGTCTTTTCTGGTCGCAATTTGATTGTCTGATATTATTATTATCATAATCTTAAAAAAAAAAAAAAACTGAGAGCTTGTGGAGGATTTTCATTTTCTCCATTTTGAAGCGATGATAATTTTAGGGGTAAGCTATGTTGCATTGTTGGGTGACGGTCTAGTGGATCTGACCAATAGGTTTTCACTTTGATTCTGGTTTGATGGGAAGATTGACTTGTATCGTATCTATTAATGTGGCAAATCGCTGCTCATCATGATGAATTAATGGCGGTCATTAGTGGGATTTGAATATGGCGAGGAAAGAGAATAATCCGATTAGTCAACAGTTTATTGTCACCCTTTGAAGTGATTTCTTATCATCTTTCCTGAATTGGTTTTATCACAATTAATTGCATATTATCTTTTGTACAAGATAGACTAGATCGTTGTAAGTTATATTTAGTGGGGTTGTGAGGTCTCCATAGGTTGCATTTTGTTAATTGCAGCATTAGCTTGAAGAGAAAAGGGAAGAGAAAGAGAGGATGAGGAACAAATACAGGAAACCAACAAATTTACGTTGCAATGCAGGGAGCAGATTTTCTGCATCTGCTGTGGTGTGGAGCTTGGTAGGATGCATTTTTTTGATTCATTTCTATTCCAATATTCATCAAAGAGATAGGGAAGGTGGCGAGGTCCAATTGCGAGTAAGCGGTCATCCCCAACTCCGTGAACTTCTAGTAGTGGAGGAGGAGGAGAACATACGAATTCCCACACCAAGGGGAAAGAGGTCCCCTAGGGCAGCAAAACGTAGACCTAAGCGTGCAACCACGGTGATCGATGAATTCCTTGATGAAAATTCACAACTGAGACATCTATTTTTTCCTGGTCATAAAAGGGCTATAAATCCAGCAAATGCTGGGAATGAGAGTTATTATTACTACCCTGGCAGAATTTGGTTGGATACAGATGGGAATCCTATTCAAGCCCATGGAGGTGGCATTCTGTATGATAAAAAATCTCGGACATACTACTGGTATGGTGAGTATAAAGATGGGCCCACTTACCGTGCTCACAAGAAAGGAGCTGCCCGTGTAAGTCTTTTTTACTTGAAAAAGTACTTGTTTTTAAGTATAATGTGATTTCCCCCTCTAATAATAGGAATTCGTGCATCTTATTTTGTGGTCGGAAAAAACGCTTGGTCATTTTCATGATTGTTGAAGAGGCTAATTCTTATGTTCAGTGCTATGCTTAGATAGTTGCATCCCTTGGTCGTCAAATCTATAACGATGTCTTAAATAAGAGGAAGGCTTTATCATAAGGAAGAACTCAGTGATTGGAGATGCTTACATGGCTTTACATATCTGCACTGTTCCTTCTTTGACAAAACTGCTTAGTTTAAGGGGCCTTATGTTTCATTAGTAAATTCAATATCTTGAGTTTTGAATATTCTTGATGTCATTATTTGATGTGAAGTCTTTGGCAGAGGGATGGCATTTGTTTTGGCTGTCATTTGGTTCACTAGATGCTAACATTGGCACAAAAGTTATGTATTCTAATTAGTCTTCTGGTCATTTGACGATCTTTCAATGTGATAAGTGGAGGATTTAGAAAACGTAAGACTCTTTCCAATGTGGAGCAAGTGCAAATATATCATATGAAAAGCTTTTATAGGAAAATAGCATCGTAATGAGATATAAGCATGACAGCTTCATCGATTTATGGAAATGCCTTGTGGTGACTTGAATCACTGGGGGATTACGAATTATTGACCTGAATGCCATAGTAAACATTAGCTGTGTCATAAAATTAGCATGTGGAGGTTGATATGTGGTATGAATAAGTGGGATGTAACTTATTTTTTCATTTTCTTTTTTCTTGTTCACCAGATAATTGGCTTCAAACTGAACTTGCAACGATAGTAATACTAGCTATATGAAATGATTCCATGCCCAAGTAGATATCAATAAATTCTTCATGCGTACACACACACATTTATCTATGCCTTTTGTTGTGTCTCTCTTGTTGTCATAGAGTGAACATTTTTTTACAATATATCAATGTGCTCTGTCTCTGTCTGTTTTATCATATTTTAAAAAAAAAAAATTGCCATAGTGCTCATCTAATAAGTTATACCATGCTGTTATCAGATATGACGGCCTCTTTGAGTAGCAATCATGGGATAACCCCTCAAAATATATATATATATATATGTATGTATACTTTCTCAGCTGCATAACCTTGTGCCAAAATTCTAATTAGACTATCTCTATCTCCTTCAGGTGGACGTTATAGGAGTAGGCTGTTATTCTTCCAAGGATTTGTGGACTTGGAAAAATGAGGGAATTGTATTGGCGGCAGTGGAAACGAATGAAAATCATGATCTGCACAAGTCCAATGTGCTTGAGAGGCCGAAAGTGGTTTACAATGATAAAACTGGACAATATGTGATGTGGATGCACATAGACGATGCCAATTATACAAAAGCTGCTGTTGGGGTGGCAATCAGTGATGCTCCTGATGGTCCTTTTGATTATCTTGGTAGCCAAAGGCCACATGGATATGAAAGCAGGGACATGACAGTTTTCAAGGATGATGATGGGGCAGCATATCTAATATACTCCTCTGAGGACAATAGTGAACTGCACATTGGACCCCTAACTGAAGATTATCTTAACGTGACTTCTGTCATGAGGAGGATTCTGGTGGGACAGCACCGAGAAGCACCTGCTCTATTCAAGCACCAGGGTACATACTATATGATCACATCAGGCTGCACCGGCTGGGCCCCAAACGAGGCACTGGCTCATGCTTCTGAGTCAATATGGGGGCCATGGGAAACAATGGGAAATCCATGCGTTGGAGGGAACAAAGTATTTAGACTGACAACTTTCTTTGCTCAGAGCACTTTTATACTCCCTATGCCTGGATACCCTGGTTCATTTATTTTCATGGCAGATCGATGGAATCCTGCCGATCTAAGAGACTCTAGATATGTATGGTTGCCTTTGATAGTGGCAGGACCTGCTGATCAACCTCTGGAGTACAATTTTGAGTTCCCATTGTGGTCAAGAGTTTCTATCTTTTGGCACAGAAGATGGAGACTGCCTCTGGGTTGGAGAGGATTCATATAATGAGGTTCTCCTTGTACATTCGATCACATATGAAGCCTCTAAGTCTACAGCCCGCCGATTTGCATTGTCAAACCCTGGCTTAAAACTGTGAAAGTTCACCCGCAACATGAGTACGCGGATACAGGACTTCAGTCTCGAGAACTAGAGTTTTCACATTTCTTAATTCACAATAGTTAGAAGTAGCCTGTATATATATATCGAGAAAGATTGGCCATTGACCTACCGAGTCCTAACTTAGGTGGATACTTTGTTTGTTGACACTTCTCTTTACCATTTTGATATACACAACGTGAAATTGCTTCACATACTTGGATATAATGTACTGATTTCATGTTAATGCTCGATAGAAAAAAAGGGTGGGCTGTGATCCATACCTTGTCACTGAAATTTGAGAGTTCTATCATAGCCCTTAGTCCATAGTTCCATTATCCCATAAGCTCCAAGTTGTAGCAGCCCACAGTTTTTTGACATGTCCAGCACAGTCCGTAAGTCCATAGTGCCATTATCCTTATGCCCAAGTAGCAACCCATTGTTTTTTTAACATGTCTTGACTAATGACTATTAACTGTTGCGTCCTAGAAAGATGGATTTTCTGACTTCTGAGTACTGTGTAGAAGTGTAGCGTGTGCCATATGAGTGGGCCTCAACTCAAAATACAGGTTCAAGTGATCCGAACTAGTTATACAGAAGAAGCCTTTATGTTCCTTTTCACATCGGCTGTCACAGTGTCACTGGATTCGTCAATTATTGCTTTATCAAAGAAATTATTCGTCTGGTGCAACTATAGAAACAAATAAACAATAGACTAATGACTATTGAGTCCTAAAAAGATGGATTTTCTGAGTATTGTGTAGGGTGTACCGTCTGACTAGGCCTCAAATTCAAAATGCAAGTTCAAGCGAGTTTGGAGAACAGATGTCACGCATAAATTCAACTGCAACATTAACGTTTCTTTCAATCTTTCATAATATTAGTTGTTACTGGATTCTTCAATTATTGCATTATCAAAGAAACTATTTGTCCGGTATAATTATGGAAACAAATAAAATACAATAGACCACAGGAACAGGAAATACAGACAGAGGGACAAAGATCCTGAAGTACTTTGGGTTGGTAAATACGCTTGAAAAACCTTTATTGCTTGAAGTCGGTCCTATTAAAACATAAAGGATCACCTGGTCGTTGTCAATGTCACAGAAAAGAGCATCAAAGGCTTAAAGTCGTAGAAGAAAGTTGGGCCCATAGCACCAAACACCCTCTATAAAATTAAAAACCGAGTGAAAGCCACAATAATTATTTTTTAAAACTCAAAAGAGGAAAAAAAATAAAAACTAAGACAAACGTGGAGAGGGAAAGCCTCATCAGAACTGAAGTCCTGGACTTGCAACCCTAAAAAGATGAACCCACTATTCATAGTGTTTCCTTTTCATTGTCTATGACACTTACAATATATTAGCTTTCATGGGCAAAAGGTGCCTCATATGAACCCTTATCTCGCCTCCATGAAAGGGTTCAGGGTTCGTGGGGGCCATACAAAGAAGCTAAAGCTAATATCTGTGTCACACACGCATTATACATAATTGTATAAAGATGATAGACTTTAGAGAGAGAAAAGAAAAAGGAAAGACATGCAAAGACTATTTCAAAGACACAGCGTGCTTTGCTGGCCACTAAAACGCTACTTCCACTAAGGAGACTCTGCTCCTTTTTATGAGATTCCCTCATATATTTAACCCAACACAGTGGCCGCCCTAAGATTCTATATATCACTTGAAAGGCTTGGAACACGTAGTCCTCTTTCGTTTTTTGCAAGTTTAGTTTTTATATTTCTTTACCACTACCGGTATGGATTGCTACCTTTATTTATATTATTGTACACCATTATCCTTGCAGATGAAATCATCTTTATACACCAAATACCAAATCTTGATTCTTTTTTTGGGACCTTTTTGTGAAAAGAAAGAAAAAACAAAGAAAGATTAGTGTGTGATAAGGCTGAGTCTAATCTTTTGTTTTCAGGTTATGTTAAGCCCATGACTAATAATTAAATATTGCAAACATATATTTGTGATAATACAAGATTGTCTTCTCCGGCTTGATTATGTTTTTAATTCCCTCGCTAGTTGAGCGAACAGACAATAATACAGCTTGTCTCTGGTCAAAATTGAACCATAACCATATTTTGGGATTATATATATAATACACCAACTGAAAAGCATATCACCTGGCTACACAAGGAAACGTTCTAACCGTATATTTATGCCGATTATTGATCTTCTTCTTCTTCTTCTTTTTCAAACTCAAGGGTGATAGATTTAAGTAGTCTAAGTCTTGATTTAATTTATGCTGTATCCAAAAGGACCAGTGGCCTAGAGGGAAATAAGTCAAATAACTCTTACTTTGATCATTTCTCTCTCAATTTTAATAATACATATACATATATTTTAATTATAAGAAGAGGTTTAAACTCTGCATATTTACCTATACTTTACCTTACACTACTCTTAATTATCCTAAGCTAGTAATCAGTTGGCAATTGCAATATTATTTTAATTTACAGAAAAAGACTTTTGACCTATATTAATTTTATGACAATAAACTCCCTATATAATTACACAATTTTGGTATTTTTATATTGTTATTTTCAAATTCCAAATTGTCAGTAATCTTTTTAAATTTTTGAACTACATAAATCAAAAGTTAAATCGTCAAAATATACCAAAAATAAAATTGTCAACACAGTGACAACTATTTTCTCACACCAACAATATTCCACACGGTCACATCCCTGTTTTTGTTTCCTTTGAACATTTCCCTTGAATGCAACTAAATATAACATTAATTTAAGGGAATAAGTTCACTATCCCTCAAAAATAAAATAGTCGGACAATTATGCCATTGATTACTTCATACATACATATATATAATATATATATTCAAAGTCATAACCTATTTCTTCGTAATATGAAAATAAAATCACAAAATGTTATCAAGAATAATTGAAAATTCAAACTCCCCTCCCAACCATATCAACCTCCAATCGTATTGTCTTGCCATGCTAATCAAATTAAAAAAAATGAGAAAATAAAATAAAAAGAAACACCCACTTCAACCGAGTTACCACCACCACGGCAACCATGCACGTGCCAAAAAAACCAAGAACACGTGCGAAGCACTCTCGCAGCATCTCCATCATCTACGTCGTCAAGGCCTCCATGCACTGGCCCACACCACCGGCTGCTCCTTCCAGGCCAAGAATATTCCGGCGTCGGAGCAATGTGTTATTGCCCATCCCTCCTTGTACCTCCTCAACAGCGCTCTCACGTCGTCGGAAACCTCATCGCTAAACGGCACCACATTGAGCCCACTTCCATGCAGCCGCTGCGACCATCTTGCTGCCGTCTCCCGCCGTTCCACCGACTGCGCTGGCTCACAAGCCACCAAGTCAACGATGGCTCGTCCCGCAGCTCGCTCGAGCATCAAACGCTCGTTGCTTGCGTGGGGGAAGCTCTCCTCCAGTGCCTCGAAGTAAACCCTAAACCACCTCAAGCATTCTTGGAAACCTCGTACAAACTCAAACCCATGAAATCCGACATCAAGATCAGCTTCCTCTTCCACGACAGTGACTATCCTAGGTTGCAATCTCCGAAACGAGGAGATCAATACGTCACGATTATTACCAAAGGCTGTGATAGAATGCAACGCGTTAACACAATTAATGGCGAGAGCCTCGTCGTCTTTGATTTCCAATTCCGAGAAATTAAAGTCCGAGAGATCACCCGCGTGATGAATGACGTTGAATTTAAAGGGGACGCCCATGAGCCGAGCGAACTTCTCCATTCTAGTCCCTATTTCCTTCATGACTTTCTGAACAGCAGCGACAGAGCCACCGGCTCGGCGGCTAACCACCGTGGTTAACCGGAGGTGCGGGGTGTCATCGCTGCGAGTGGCCAAGGCTTCAAGAAGAGTCGGCCACTGGGTGCAATACGTATCGCTAATATCGACGATGTGCAACTTGGGCTCACCTTCTAAGGCCTCCAATATGGCGCCATTGGAAGCGACGTGACCGAAAGTAGTCCAAGGGCTGACCTCCTGGAACTTCAAGACCATCTTCCTGGTGGACTCAAAAGAGCAAGTTTTGTCCGACGCGGATGCCAAAGTACGGTAGGTGCGGTCGCCGGAGTCGGTGACACGACTGAACAAGGCCTGAAGGAAGTAAGCGGCGAGCTTCTGATCGATGTCGCCATAGGGACTGGCGAGCTCGTTGAGCATCCAAATTAACTGCTGGACACGAGCGCTGTTCTTGTCGGCAACGGCACGGGCGGTTTCGAGGAGGAGATCGTGAGCCCAGCGGCCGGAGAATTCAAAGGCATGGAGGTCAGGCGCTGCGGGGGAGAGGGAGAAAGAGAAATCAGAAGCGGTGGGAGTGGTAGTGGTGAAAGTAGAAACAGCGGTGGCGGTAGGGGTGGCGGAGGAGGAAGGATTATGAGGTTGATAAGGATAATACTGCCTAGAAGAAGACGAGGACAAGTCGTCTTCATCCATGAAAAAGTTGAAGCATTCTTCGTCTTCTTGCTGCTGGTAGTGATGATGATGATGATGGTTGTTGTTGTTATTGTTTTGTCTGGAGGATCTGGAGCTGCTAGAAGTTCTACTAGAAGAGTTGTTGAGAGAATGAGGATCAGGTTGAGGTTGAAAAGTGACTAGGCGAAACAAGGTATCCATTTAACCCACATCAAAGCATACAAATACGGAGACTGTGAAGTGTGAACACAAGGAGAGAGCGAAAGAGGCGTATGAGTCACTGTTTTTAACAGCGAGAGAGAATTGAAAGGAAGTTGAAGAATGTGGAATATATCGTAGGGATGGGGTGGGAATAGGGAAGAGGTTATGCAGAGTAATTAAATTTGGTGTAATTTGAGTTTGGTAAAAAGTAGAGGGCAATGGAATGAAAGGATTAATAATTGGAAATGGAAAGGAAGGAAGGAACTAGGTAGGAGATGGGCTAGTTGAGGGGGTTGGAATAGAATAGTTCTGACAAAAGATGGGAAATAAAGTAGGAATGAGGAAATTAAAGGGGTTAGTGGATGAGCTTTTCATTGTTTTATTGTTTGGGGGGAAGAGAGAGAGAGAGAATGATAGCAGGCGTGACGAATGAGGGTAGAGAGAGAGAGTAAAGCTGCCGGCGTGAAAGAAGATGGTGATGATGATGATGAGCAAACCCACTATCTCTCTCTCTGTATCACAACGCACTCACGTTGCTTGCCTCCTAATCACGCTCCAATCTCTGCCAAAATTCCCATCAAACTTTTTCCTTTTCCCTTCGTTGTTTTGCTCTTTTTTACATTAACCCCCATACATGATACACCCCCCTTTTCAAAAAACTGTTATTGTTATATTAATTGATCTATTTATCAAGAAAAATTCACCATTTAATTTTATAATCTTCACTCAATTAAAATTTAATTTATGAACTTTGACTTTGACTCATGTAAATCAATTCATATAATTTTATCTATTTAAAAAGTTAATTCCTACATTTTTAAAAAATAGAATTAAAAAAATAAAGTTATTTTAAATTGTCAAAACTACATGGATTAAGTTGCATTGAGTTAAAAGTTTTAAAGACTAAATAATAATTAAATCAAATTATAAGAATGAATTATATTTAGTTACAATTGAATGAAGAATATAGAGATTAAATGAGTATAACGATAACTGTTCTGGATCAAACTTAGGGTCGTCAAATCTACCACTTGATAACCTAGACTTTACAATAATATTTCTGTTCAAACTTGTAACCAGAAATGACTTAACTGTTGCGCTTAATTGATAAAAAGTGATGATTTTGAACAGATTGGGAAAAAGGAATAAGAAAAACGTTGCAGTGATGATATGGTGTTGTCCAACTCCAAGTTCTAGGGCATGCGGTTGTTTACTTTTTTCACAAAACCTCTCATTTGATCTGGATGGTTTATAAGCATGCAGTGATATTCAGTAATCACTTCAAGGCTTCATCTTTCCCTCTGACCCTAAATGTTGGAATCCACTTACTCACCAGAACTCTTTCTTGTAACAGCCTTTCAGAATCTGAAGCTATCCATTTTCAACCTCCCATATCATTGCTTTCCAAAGTCTCTCATCCATCCCTTCCTTCTTCCTCTTGCTCACTCTGCTTCGCCCAACCCACAACATCACTTTCTCTTCTTCTACCTCATCATATCACTCTTTACTACTAATTTCATCTCTAGCTCTCTTCCCAACTTTTAGCTGTAGCTCTTGAAGGAAACTATTCATCTTTTCTTTTGTTTGTCTTCCTCGATATTTCTTTTTGGCAAACTTTTGTTTTTCGTCTATAGACTATACAGTCCTTTTTAATCTGAACCTTTGCATATTTTTCCCACTAGCTAGTTAAAAAAATTAAGTTTATGTAAGAAAGTCTCTTCTTCCTATATTAATGTGGATTATATTTTCGAAATATGCTAATCGCCAATTTTGAAAAAGCCACTCGAGATGTTGATAATCACATGTTATTAATAATATAGCCATGTGAAAATATACTAAACAAAATTGTCATCAACAAATTATTGTAGAAGAGTCATTATCAACACAATATACTGCCTTTTTTCTCCACCGATATCCTCCTATTAAAAACAATCATATTCAAGATATTGTTGGGCATTAAATATGGACACCTCTTTCAATGAAGATTTAAATTTTGGTTCGTCACATTATGAGAGACGACTAATCCTTTTTCCTAGACCTAACTTTGAACAGCATTTTATAATGGCCACCAAATAATTCACTTTAATAAGTGGGCCTTAATTGAAAGTATTGGGGTAAAAGAAAAAGGAAAAAAATGAGACATACAGCTTTTTTCCCCACAAAATGTGAAGCCTACTACCCTTATTAATTCATGGCTTTTTGAACAAAAGAAAAAGTTATAAAACATCTATTAATGTGGTGCCCGTATTCAGGCGGAGATCAAACCGGGATATATATCAAAAGATAATGTATAATATAAGATTGATATATCATAAACTTTAGAGTTAAGAGGGAATTTTTGCTCTCAAAACTCAAAGTTGGCCAGTTGGCTCTGACCAAGTCCATTGCATTAAGTTTGACTTTAATTTACCTATTGATTAATTAACTTGTTATGTACTCTATCAGTATTATTATCACATAAGCAATATGATCTTGCTAATCAATTTCTTCAGGAGAGAGGAAAGAAGTCAAACCATGATATATATATATATAGAGAGAGAGAGTCAGGAATAAGGGCCAGGCTTGACAGGCCGCCTGTTTAAGCCCGTTTTAATAAGAGTTCGGGCTTAAAAATTTGGCATTTTTTAGGGTAATCGAGCTTCGAAGCCCAGCCCTTTTAAGCCCTAGAAAAACAGGCTCGGGCCCGTGAAGCCCGTTTTACTATTCACAAAGTATTGTTTTCACCTCTTTCCAAATAATGTACAAACATTGATTTGTATTTTGTACCAGCAATTGGTTGAATTGTTTTGTGCCATTTTATAGTAATTTTCATATTTTATCTTGTGATATATGTATAGATATATATTTGATAATAAAACAATTTAATTAATAATTATTGTAGGTGATGATGAAGAAACTACAAAAATAATTAATATTGAGTCTTCGCCTCCATCTTTCATAAGTGGACCTATATCTGAGGGTTTTAATATTTTATTTATGGATGATAATGAGGAAGATCTTGATTAGGATTGATGATGATGTTTGCCTTCATCTTATTTGGACTTTTAAATTTTTTGTTCATTTTTTAGATTATGTGAGACTTTGGTTTGATATATATGTTAAATTTTAAAATATTCTAAATAAATTTTAATGTTGAATTTTATTTTATTTTATTTTATTCTTATCCGGGCTTACGGGCCCGGCCCTAAGCCCTATAAATAAGGATCGAGCTTCAATTTTAGGATAAAATTGGGATAACCGGGTTTTAGGGCCTAGGCCCATAAGGGCTAGACCTGCCCGTTTACCAACTCTATATATATATATATATGTAGTGATAAGATTGGTCCATAGAACTTTGTTGACACATACATGAACTCAGTCACCTTCTTCCAATACAACTATTCAAAAGGTTCCATGTAGATCAAATTTCTGGTAAAAATATATAGATCAAATTTAGTTAGTTCAATATAAGTCATTATTGGTATTTTTATTCAAAATTTTTAATAAAAACAAAAATGTAAAGAGAAACATTAAAAATTAACAAGTGCTTTATAAATAGGATCATATTTTTTTTTCCTCTCTCTACCATATAAAAAGATCCAACTATTTATTGACTTTAGCAAAAACACGTATTAAATGTGGTTTGCATGTTCTTTTAAAAGTCATCCAAATAGACTATAAAATAACATGATTGTTGATAATGGGGCATCCACATTTACAATTTGGACCTTACTTTCACTTTACTGAATGGGCCATAATTGGAAGCATGAGTGGAGAAAAAGATGAAATGAGACAGTTCACTTCCCACACTAATTTCATGGTTTTTTTTTCGCATAAAAATATTTTTTTACATCAAAATTTTAGCTCATCAAGTTTATAAAACAAAAAATATTTACCCAATGTATTATTTCTAGTTGAAGAGGCTATGATTTCTTAATTAAACACAAGATCTAGGTCATATCTAAGCATGTTTAACTACAAAAATTACCTTCAGACAAAAAACTGCCTCTAATTGGATTCAACAATTAATGTTTAAATTTGACTCAATAATACTCAAATTTGACTCATATAATTGTATAAAAATATTTACTTAATTATCTTAAAAAAACACAAGACTTGCATTTAATAAAATTGGGAGTAAGTATTGGTTTTCAACCAACAAAATGTTATATTTTAAAATTAAGAAAATATAGTTTTTAGTCTCTTTGTGGTTAACATGGATCAATATTCCTATAGACTTTAATTAATTAAGATTAAATCTCTATAGTTTTCATTAATTTTGAGCAAAGTCCTTATATAGAATAGAATACATGACCTTAATCAACTCTCAATTTAAATTAAAAATATATTTTCTTTACTCAAAAGTCCTAGCTTAAGATTCACGTCTTTGACGGTGGGGAAAGGATCATAGCTTTTGGAACTCAAGTGTTTCCCACTTTCCCCCCTTTTAGCCAACTAAATTGGTAATATATAAAACATGCATTTATGTCCCATCTTTAATGTAATTATAGTCCTTTTTTTTTTTCTATTCTTATTTCTTAATTTTTAATTAATGTGGAACCCACATTCAGGCAGGGATCGTACCGGGACATATCAAAAGGTTGTGTGTAAGATAAATCATGAACTTTTGAGTTGGAAAGGAAGTTTTGATCTCAAAGTTGGCCGGTTGACTCTTATCAAGTCAACATTAAACTTGACAATTTAATTTACCTACTAATCTTCTTCTTATGTATAAGTTTTATCCCCATGAAGGAAGGTGCGTATAATTGTCCCTTTTCCCAAATAACAAAGATGTGTCGCTATTGTGCTTCAAATCTATATTAGATTAATCTAAAGAGATAAACAACCATCTTTCTTTAATAATATATGTAGTAGTAAACTAGCAATGGTAGTTAATTAATTGTCATCATCATGCAATATCTATTTCCGAAAGATTATATATATCAAACTTGCTGTGGTCATCATCAGCTAATAAGTTTCTGTTCAGCGACATGATTCCGTCTTGGCCTCTTCAATAATTTCTATTAAAAAAAATCCTCATGTAACGTCTCAACACACAGAATCTGATAGTCTAACTAACATGCATTTTGGGAAGAGTTTGTGCATATTATGTTGAAATAAAATTCCACATACAGGGCCTAATACATGTAATTATTATAATTTAGCCTAAATAAGGCAATCAGTTTAGATTGCAATTTTGAGGTTTATGAGTTTAATTATCATATTTATAATTTGTTGAGAAACCAAATTGTAAATATCATAAACTTAAGTTTAAAATAGGGGCTATGGTTAGTGATAAGTCAAGGAGTTAAAAATACAGTTCTTCATTCCCCTTCTTATAGATAGTCATTAATTCTCTGTGATAATTAATAATCTAGAAAACACACTCGTTCATGAATCAGAGATCAAATAAAAACAATGGATTCAAGTATGTTTCTTGATGCACACAAAATTTAAATGCATCGCAAGTGTACAAATTAGACATAGCATAGTGAATCAAGGTTATTCCGCAAGGAATTAAAGTAAAAGGAATTAGGCACAATTCAATTTCTCCTAGTTATCTAGTTCAATTTCAACTTTAAAATTAAAGCTCTCAATTAGATCTAAATGTCAGTCAATCACAAAAATCCATAATCTAACTAATGTTATGGTGTCCCATACAAGTCATGATTCAATTATATACAAATTTTACAAATATTATCTAGAGCTCTTGAATATAAGTTTATCTCAAGCGTAAATTAGATAAGTTATAATTTTAAGTTGCTTAATAAATGATCTAAGTGCAATTCTCTTCTTTTGAAGGCAAATTTCAAATCCCAAACATATATTAAAGTTGGTCATCCAATAGCAGGAGGAAAATGAATTCATAGTAAACACTAAAGCATTCATTCAACATCAATAACGGCCCAAAAAAAAATCTAACTATAGAACGCAAAGATTTATAGAATTCTAAAGTACAGATAAAACTAGCCACTCATGGCTCCAATTATATAAATAAAAAAATCAACAATAATACAAAGAATCAAAGGCCTAGCATAGAAGAGAAGATTTCTCACAAAATCTCGCTCAAGAGCTACTCAAAGTGCTCTCCAATATTCAAAAGCACTTTCAAGACCTTAGTTGAAGTTTCAAAATTGCCTCTTATACCTCAAAAACCGTTCATAATAATGTCGAACTCTCTAAAATCCTAGCCTCCCATGACTTAAATATAAACATCAATAAATGATGCCGTGTGTTTTATTGTACGACGTCGCCATGGCAGCTCCCATGACCCCAATGCTCTCTATTTTTTGTTGCACTACAGCACACGGCTGCCATGGCAGGTCATTAAAAACTTTAATTTCTTCTATTTTCCTTCCTTCTACTCCTTCTCGCTTTTAGCTGGAGTCATCTAAAATACAAGCAACACTACTCATTTTACCTCAAAACACTTACAAATTATAGTGATTAACAGAAAATGACCCATTTACAAATCATAACAAATTAAAGGGAAAATGAGTCAGAAAATTAACCAAACTAAAGGAGATTACTCTCTAAATTTGCGAATAAGATATATTCAAAACATAAAAAAAATTAGAGAATAATCACTTTCACATTTAGTTTTTCTATTCCTATGAATTGATAGGGGACTTTATTCAAGTTCATGAATTTAATTGCAATAATGGATTTGATTTCATAGTTTGAGTGTGAAAACCCGGTTGATTAGCAACAACCAATTCCAACATATTATTCATGAACCCCACTCCATTTCCACAAAATTTTGTTTTCATACGTGTACTTTCTGAAGCTTTCGCGCGTCCTGAATCCGATGTCACACACACTTATCTCAAGATGACCAAGTAAAACCATGACATTTTAATTTGTTGTCATTATCCATGTCACTAATAAGGCTAAATTGAATTTAGCAGCAACTGATGGGTCAAACATAACTGTATATGAAATTCATTCTTTTTTTTTTTTGTGTATTCATTCACATCTTCTCCCCTTTTTTATCTTATAAATCATCACTTTTATATATATTGAAGTCATATACCAAAACCGAAATCCGCAGAATAATATTGTAGTGCGTCCTAAACTAGATGGCAGTGAGCAGCTGATGAGCAAAAAAAAAAAAAAAAGTAACGAATTCTGTGTGGAGTAAAGTGAATTGATTGGATTGTAACGCGTCCCAGAAAGTAAGGATCAGACAGCTGTTAAAAGAAAGATTGATCGTCCAAAGTTGTTTCTCAGAGAGAGAGAGAGAGAGAGAGAGAGAGAGAGAGAGAAGTGAATTGTTAAAAAATCTGACAAGGCAGCAACAGGACATGATTCTGAAGGTCTGAAATTTTCCATTGGAGACTGGAGAGGCAGGGACAACACACCTAGTACAAAATTATTCTCCGTTGGTAAATTCTAGGTGTTTTACTAGGGACACCATTATGTTGTTTTCCATGTCATTTTTATCGGTAATGAAAATCTACAGATGTTACATTATCGATAAAGTCAAGTTACACTAGGTTCTTACTATCATCATCCTGCAGGACAATCCGACAATAATGTATCAAAACTTTCTCATTACTCTAGAAGATATATAGTTCCCATGAGAAACTTCTAACACTCTGTGACATGTATGTCCTTATAAAGAATCAAAACAAAATCAAATTCTTCAACTATTTAACACTACATAGCTGCTGCATGACTTTTATTTCATTGTTCTTTGGGCTTTTGTAATCTGTCAGTCTTTCTCTTTAGACTTTAACAGCACGTTCTTCGTTCATGGTATGCCTTAAAAAGAAGGTTTTGGATGAAGATACTGTGTTCAAGTGCTGGTGAGAGCACATAGCCTCTTTTTCTTTCGGGGCCAACACACGAAAAATTTTAACAAATTCAATATGTTTAATTTAAATCCGCTAATTTTAATGCCTGTGTCATTAATGTTGTCTTCGTTTAACTCCCTGAGGCTGTTGTGTTGTGTAAAGAAGCATAGATTTCATTTCAAAACCACTGGAGTGGGGGGTCTTTCGTTCTAAGTTGAGATTTGGTTACAAGCCATTCCAACATCAGCAAGACGTATAGCAGATAAACTAATTTGTGATTTAGAGAATATTCAAAATCTAATAAATATGCCAAGCGAAATATTATTTGTGGAAGTTCAAAATTAGGGAGATAAATTAATAAACCATTGATACAATCAACAGAAATACATAGTTTAAAGTAGGAACACCATGAAGTCGACCCATACACGTTTTAAGTAAACATCTATTGTTCTTTAACGTATTCTTATAGCCTAGTAAAAGATATACTTTTTCTTGTTTTTGCCTTTGCTTTTGCTTTTTTTTTTTTCCTTTTTTTTATGGGCTTTCTTATTTAAATAAGTGACTAAGAGTTTGAATTCCAACTACATAGCAACTCAGTTAAAAAGGGTTTTAGATACCATTAGTTTTCAATATCCTAAGAAAATAATCTTTGCTATCACCATGACTTACCTTTTTTATTCAAAAATATATATCATTTTTTTCTTCATCCCAAACAAAAGATACACTTGAAACATGGGTCAACTATTAGAAGTGGTAAAAATAAATTAGATTAAATTAGGCTTTGATTAAATAGGCCTGAACCAAGTGAGCGTGATGCACCCTTTAAACATCATTTTAGAATTTGATTCTTGAAAGCATGTATGGAGAGCATAGCTTGAGAGAGAACAATCCTTTAAATGACATTGAAATTTTTTGAGAAATTAGTCTCGTAGCTGCTAACTGTAGAATACTTTAAAAAACTAAAAAAATGGGCCTAAGCCTATATGGTATATTAAAGGCCTTAGTTTGATTTGAAGTTTGTATAATATTTTTCTTTCAACTCATATTTAAGTTTATTTAAAGTATGACCTTATTTAGAAACTTATTTAAAAACTTACTTAAAAGTAAATATTTTAAATAAGTTTACATATTAGTTTTAAAAGTCTCAAATATACCTAAAATCTATATATATATATATATATATATAAAACATGGTTGATCAATTCCAACATATAATAATTAAGATAATTTACTAACTATAATATAACATTTTGGTGAAAAAAGAAATACAATATAATTTAACTAAAAACAAAAAAGAATAAATTGATTGAATATCAAATAATGAAGCTAATGTGTATGTAGTGCATTACAAAATAATATATATGTAAATAAGTTAGCCTATTAAATTTGTAAGTTAAGCTTTGTAAAGATATGTTTGGCGGGGTCTTAATCAAATATCTCAATCTAATTTAAACTTATTTAATAAATAGATTAGATTAAATTTGAAACAGGGCACGCTGTAAGGCCCTATTTCCACCTTTAACTGTGAGTGCCGTGGACCAGTTGTCTGTCGGTCCTTGTGTATTTCACTCTTAAAGAAAAATTAGATTGTGTCTTTTTAGGGACAGAGCATTCATTCAAGATTGTTGTATAAAAAGAAGAAACTGTATTTCAGTATTTGAATGGTATATTGGGCGGGAATTCATATGAGAGATATGAGGCCCATACTCGCAACACATTACAAGAATGGGCTTGCTCATAATTACGAGAATGGGCTTGTTCAGAAATTGAAAGAAGCATTGGGCCCATAGAGTCGTAGCCCTAGAAAGCAAACCTTTTGAGTTTCAGACACACCGGGCACCTCAACTTTCAATCGGCACGTTTTAAATCAAAAAATACAAAGTTGCCAAGAACAATCCCAAGAGGGGTTTAAGGCTGACTGAAATTGGAATTGAAATAGTTACATGAGAAGCAGGGATTATAATGGGAGAACCCAGTAACGGCTACGACAGTAGCAGTGGGGAGGAAGATGGAGATGCCACGTGGAGGTCGGCCATCGAATCCGTTGCCGGAACTACCAGCTACATCTCTTCTTTCATGAATGGCTTTTCCTCTTCCTCCAAAGTGAAGTTACCCGCCAAAACCAGTTATTCGAACGACGATCGACAGCAGAAACCCCAAACTCAGAAGATTAAGCACTACCAAGTCAAGGTCAGTTCTTTTTGTTTCCCTTCGGGTGTCTCCATTTTTCCTATTTTCTGCTTGTTGGTATGCGTCCCTGTTTGCTTGAAGTTGATAATGGATCATTGGTAACACCAAGACATGCTTGAAGTTATCAAGTTTCAAATGAAATGGTAAAACAAATTTCACATATCAATGGGCCCTTAGGACTGATTAGTTGCACTCGCCAGTTATACAATGTAGGTTGGTTAGTTAATCAAGTTCACAGTTGTTATATGAAATTAAGTTTATGGTGTATGGGTTAGACTTTATATCTGAGCATCAAAAACAATGTGCAGCAACTCTGCTATAGAATGTTGTTCGTTATTGGAATAGTCTCTTCGATTTTGGCAATTTGTTTTGAGCGCAATTTCATTGCATGGGGCAATGAAGAGCCAGCCACCTGCTACCTAGTCAACAGTGGATATAAGAAGATTCATGCTGCCTCCTGTGAGATTCAATGAAAAATAAGATGAAATAAATAAGTATAATTTTGTAGCGCAGTGATTTTTAGGTGAACGAATTCATCTTTTCTTCTGGAACAACATGTGGTAATTGAATTCATGTCACCTGTGTATTTCGGTTCTTTATATAAAAAAAAAAAAAAACTATAATTCTTCTGAACCGTATAGCTCATTTTCTTCCTACCCTATCCCCCCCCCCTTTTTTTCTGATTTCTTGATGATGCTATGTCCATTATCTGGTCTGTGAACTTCTTTCTTGTCCTGTCATTGTGATTAACCCTCCTTCATTTGGACAGGGAGAAAAATAGAGAGGAAGAAAAATTAGGAGGGAAAACTCCTAAAAATAGTTGTAAAAACTACTATTTTTGGGAATTTCTCCTCCTAATTTTCTACCCTCCCTATTTTCTTCTCACTTTTCTCTTGATCCAAACCAAGCCTAATGGTTATTGATGCTCTGGACAGGCACAAACGCTTTTGAATGACATCTTAGAAAATACATTAGAGGTTGTGAAACAACCTGTCCCCGTCCTGGATGAGGATCCCGACATCCCTGAAGGTGGCATCCGTTTATTTAAACATGCTAAGCCTGGAATAGTGTTTGATCATGAGGGTAAGTCAGTCTTGTAACCACTCCTGGCTTTTTAAAATCAAACACAAGATAATCACCATGTCTTGATATAGATAGTTGATTTTGGGTTTGGAGAGTTAGGATGGTTCTACTTTGGTAGTATTGGGGATTTATTTAATGTTATTGTTATTGCTCACCTTTTGTGTTCAATCAAAATAAGGTTCTCTGTAAACTATTATTTTGCATGCTTGTGACAACTTTTCTGAGATATGCAATAGCTCTCAAAGATTGAAAAAGTACAATCCTAACGTGAAAAAGATTGTGCTCTTAATGGATCTGCATACATCTCCTTTTCGGTTTTTCCTCTTTTAAATTCATTATTTCTTAATATGAAAAGGGTTGAAGATTTTTGTCATTAACAATTTTGCGTTGCTCTATGATAATGCATGGCTATAATTTTTGCCCTTCTTAGCCCATAAGGTAATGGGGTGCGAGGCACTAGCTGCAGAGCAGCATGCTTGTGTGGTCTCCCTTATAGTAGCTGGTCTGGCCAAACAAGTTGCGAGATGTTTTCTCATAATTATTGATTTGCAAAATTAAAAACGCAAACCTGGATTATTTACATTCAAGCAATCTAATGATCTAAATAAAATTCAGCTTTTCTTTTATCCTTGTTAACCGAAAGCTTTTGGAAAGGTTAAAAACTTGTATACTTGTAAGATCATGCTTGAGATTTCACCAAGTTACATTTGTACATGTGTGTGAAATTGTGTATATGGCTGCAGATGAGCCCCAACCACTAAGAAGAAGACCTAGAATACTTCCTGGAGAAGATATTGATGAGAAATCGAAGAAGGTCTTTCAGTCTGTCTGTAGAATGTCAAACTTAGTGCTTATTTTGTTTTAGTTATACACAGTAATTTTCTTAACGATTGCAAGTTGCCTTGACAGTTTAAACGGCAGATTCAGTCTGTTGCTGTCAATGGGAGAGATATTTTAGCTTCAGCAGAAGATGCATATCGGAAGGCATTGGCTAGACTAGAAGCTAGAGATGCAGCAGCAAAGGCTGCCTCCAAGAGAGAAAAGGAAAGAGTTGAGAAGTTGAAAAAGGTTAGGGGAGAGAGATGGTTACCTTCCATGGCCAGGGACATGCAGCTTGGGTATAAACACTGACAATGGCTTATATTCAAGTTCATTCCGTGTTGGAGCTAGTGTGATTACAAGAGAAATTGGAGGATAAAGAATTGTGGAATGGTTCAAATTAGTGAAATTAAATGAAAGACGTAATGAAATTACAATTTCGTTCTGGCTGAAAATGCAATAGAATCGGTGTACTGTGTTTGAACTGGGAATTATCAGTGTGGGAAATTTGTAGGAGTTGCTATCTTCCCTGAACACATACAGACGCTTGAACGCCAGTGTCCGCCATTGAGGATTTACGCTTGCAACATCATTAAAAACCTTGTGGAGTTTGCATATGTGACATGTTTATTTGGGGATCTCTTTTCAAGCATACTCTTTTCTAGTTTAAATTATAAAACATTTTTTCTTAGCTCATCTTGGTTAAAAATATAAGGCACTTTGTAGATTTTGAATTTTTTTTTCTTAGTTTACCTTTGTATTTATTGACTTGGTTTGTTGTGTAACCTTATTGGTATTTACTACATTTTTCTTACTCTTTATGACAATTAAAATTTATTGGTCTGCACATTTTTTCATGTTATAGAACTTCATTAAAAAATATTATATTTCTCATTTAATTTATTATTGATAGTTGGGTAAAAGGGTACAAAAAAAAATTATGATATTTATAACTAAAAACAAAGATATAACTGAATTTTATTGGTATTTAAATTATAATTAAAAATGTTTTATATTTTAAACTAAAGAGAGTATATAAAATTATGAGGAACTTAGATATAACAATGCAAAGAGTATGAAGTCAGATGAAAATTGTTTAGACTGTAAAGACCAAAAACTAAGATTTATATGAACTATAGGATCAAATAATTAATTTTTTTCGTACTTTAGCTTTGAAATTTTTGTTATCCCAATTTTGGCCAGTCCAAGTGAAATTTCATCTGCGAAGTGCGGTGAAAATGAGGAATTACTTTTGCTCAAGGATAATGCATGAATCACATAATGCAACGTTGATGCATTTCCAAAAACTATTGAGCTAGTTCGCTAGGTCGCCAGCATTAGATGGAAAGAAAATATAGAAATTTGAAAAAATATAACTGTACAATGCCCATATTTTTAGCCTTTTTTAATATTATTTCTTACATTTTTTTTCATTGCTTCGAATCCTTTAAATTTCATGCATTTGCAATGTTAATTTTTATATTTTTAAATATAACTATAAGAACTTAATGGTGGTTTATGTGTATAAAAATTTCTTTACTTTTTATACTAATTTATATCATTAAATCAAAACAAACAGCTCATTAAATCAAAATTTTAAAGACGACACGATAATTAAGGTAAGCAAATCGAAATGTTAGCTGTCATTTTGTTCATACAATATCCAACTTCTCAAAATTTTATCAAATTAACAATAGAATTAATAAATTATGTACACATTAACATATTTAATTCTATCAATGACAATAAAGACCAATATTGTAGATAGATGAAAATTAAGATATTTGGAACAAAAAAAATAAAGTAGAAAGACTAATATCAAAATATGCCAAACGCACAAGGATCGACTATCATATTTTCCCTAAAAATTTTATACAAAAGATTCTAAGGAGAATGACAATAAAATCTTTTTAAAATATATAAATAATAATTTAATTCTTCAAAATACCATAATTTCCCTGAAGTCTTTTGATACTTCTTTGTCATTAATAAATTTATATAAATTATTAAATTGTCCTTGTTGAAAATAAATGATTTACAAGTTTTGTTTAAATATTTGTAAGTTTTTTTCTTATATTCACAATAATACAACAATAAATAAAAAATTTCACATGCGAAGTTGTGATTTGTTATTGTATTATTACAAATATAAAAAAGAAAGTTGTAAACATTTAAACAAAACTTATAAATCACTTATTTTCAACAAGAATAATTTAATAATTTATATAAATTCATTAATGACAGAAAAGTCTCTAAGAACTTTAAGGAATTATAACATTTCAAAAAATTAAATTGTCATTTATATATTTTAAAGAGATTTTATTATCATTTTTTCAAGATTCTCACTGTGATGTTATCCACGCCTGAAATATTTATGACCAAACTGAAGCAACTAATTAATTTATTGTAATGAATTGGGAAAACATTTTGTTTCAATTAGAATTAGGATGAATGGCAGCCGTTGTTTGGTGTGAAGCAGACGCGGTCACAAAACTGTAAATTTCTATTACGGGAAATCCAGCACAAGTCCAAGTGGGGGTGAGTGCCTTATAAGTTTAGCGTTAGGATAAGGTAGAAAAGAGGAAGCGTCGCGGAAGCAACCTAATGTATGTTGATGGAAGAGTACTGTGAGCAACAATAATTGTGATGTTAGAAGCAGCCAAAAGCAGGCATTGGAGGAGCCTTATTTTTATTCGCATGATATACTTATGATCTTCTGTCCTTAGCATTAACTGAAGCGTAAGTTAGAGTGGGCGAAACATGGCGCATGTGGTGGCAGTGATGGTGCAATACGTTGGTTACTTTCTGAGAACCATTTGGGGTCTGCAAGAGCGGCGTTTTGCCTCTACCTTCGACACTGTGAGCTCCGCTGCCATATCCGTAAGCATCTCATTCATGCTCTGCCTCTTCTCCATCAGTTATTCACGACCACCAGGTGCTATGGCCTTTGCCTCTTTCTAATCTCCTTTTCCCATTGTCAATTATTATAATTCCCTCCTTCCCTTTTCAACTAGTTTAATCAAATTTGGATCTGCTTTATTGCTTCCTTTTTTCCCCCCTTTTTCAAGTGCCAGCACTGGTTTGTTTAGGGAAATACGTCCCTGAAATTTAAAGAGATCTTAATTTGGACGAATAAATATTACTTCGGTCATAGATATCGTGATATTGACTCGTCATTTTTTTTATTCCATCATTATTTTCAAAGGGTTAAATTCATCAACGGCTTGAATACTGGGGACTGAAATGGATTGCAATAATTAAGTAATGAAAGGAAAAGGAGTGTAATGCATGACGACAAAGAAATTTGATGTGCTCGTTGCGACATTCACGTTGCCAATTCATCACAAGGTGCTTGAGTATACCATGAGATAAAACATTCAGCAACCATTTCGCTTTAATCCATCAGCACACTTGCTTGGACGGTAGGACCATCTAAATTTGCATTCAACTTCTCCATGTTTATTTTATCAGGTTTCAAAAATAACGGAATACATGAAAGAGCCAAAATTGAAGTACCGAATCGAACATAAGTAGAATTTGAGATGTTCATGGACCATTTTCCAGAGCATCAAATTTGAACGCAGCAAGCAGAAAAACGATGCAAAATCCTTTTAAAAGTCGCGCTATACCTTTTCGAGTCATGTCTTCCACTGAAACACCATGTCACATTCTCGTTGGTTTTAGAGAATCATTCAAGGGTTGCGTCATGGTATTAGGAAGAATGGAAGGTGACTATATGATTATATCCCTTGCGTCAAGGGTTTTAATTGCATCCCTCTGCATCGATACAGAAATAGTATCAACTCCAACTACAACTACACCTTAATTCGTCAATGGATAACAAATCAAAGAAAACCAATCCCTTTGTAAAGAATAGAAGCAGACTTGCAGGAAACGATAATTTCCTTGCAGCTGGCTTTATTTCTGCAGTCGATGTTACCACAAACATGTTGTGATTGCAACAAACAAGAAAGGAAGGTCCCTTTAGGCCCGCAGGTAGTCATTCTTTTCTAAGTACGCTATCACTGTTTCTGCCATGTCACTCGGAGAAGCACAGTCAGTTCCTTCTGTTTGTAACACTATCTGCAACATCAAGCACGCATGCATTCAGTTTTTAGAAAGAGGAAGGGGAGAGGGACAAGCAAGATGGAGAACAGAAAAGAAAGAAAGAAAGAAGACTTGTAATTCAAGGACAGACGAACTTAAAGAAGTTTAAAGGGAAAACACAAGAGGATAAATGGATAAATTTATCTGGTAATAAGTCAGGGCCCTGGTGCCTTGCATTTTAGATCAGACCGCCCCGAAGAGAAGGAAAAGAAATTACAGAATGAAATCACTGCTAAAGCCAGAAATCATCAGTATTCTCCTGTCAAAATTAAAACCCGAGCAAAGAGAACAGAACCTTTGAATTGTAAGTATGCGTAGCATCCAAGCTGACACGCTCACACTTCTCCAAATACACATCTCAATGACCCCAAGTAAAGAGAATATAATCTTTGAATTTTAGGTCACTATATCTATTCATTATTTCTCTCTAACAAAACTGAAATATGCACATTGTAGCCAATACACACCTCACAACTAGATGGTGGTTCATATGGATCATGTATCCCTGTAAAACCTGCAATACCAAAGTAAATTCAATCCCATGATGAGAACTGATACGCCAGAAAGTCATTAAGAAGAAAAATGCAGAAGGGTACTTAACACCAAGATACCTGTGATCTTTCCAGCTCGGGCAAGCTTGTAGAGTCCCTTCGGGTCCCTTGATTCACATATGTGCAATGGCACGTCTAAAAAAACCTAGAGCACAAGAGCATTGTCAGTAGAAGTATGAATAACCTCTTCTATTATTCAATAATCTTACTTTTCCCCTATTATTATTAGATGTAAAACTACTTACATTTATTATTTTATTGACCATCAAAACAAAAGGCATATACCTCAATAAAATCTCCCTTGGAAAGTAGTGCTCGGCAGGCATCCCTATCTTTCCGGTAAGGTGTTATTAAACTCGTAATGCAAATAAGACCAGCATCTGCAAAGAGTTTTGCTACCTCACCTGAAAGTTATTAAATAAAAAGCTTGAAAAATTAAAAAATAAAATTGAATACTTTTGAGGCCAAGTGCAAAATACATCTAGATACATTTATACAGTATCTGACCAATCCTTCGTATGTTTTCTGAACGATCTTCAGCTCTAAAACTAAGATCCTTGTTGAGACCATGCCGAACATTATCACCATCAAGGATGTAAGCCAGTTTTCCTCTGGATTGCAGGATTTCACTCAAAGCACATGCTAGAGTGCTTTTCCCTAAAATCAATGATAGATGAATTAAAGAGAAAATAATGGTTTATAAAAGAACGAAAGTTAAAGAAACATGTCAAAAAAGGTATCATTAAACAAAATTACATGCCCTGCCAATTCATGTACATTATATATGTATCCTGAAATCTGAAGAAAAGAAAGATGCATGTATTCATTTTCTTAACGCACCATCTGTATATATTCTACAGCACACAACTAATACTGATAGTATATGGAAGAACTGCTACAGCAAAAGTCATGCTGTAATAACTTTTCATTTCTTAAAATTATGCCATGAAACAATTTTAAACATCTTTAGATTTTAATTTTCTCACGAGTCGAGACAGAAAAATACTGATAGTTGCTCAGAGATCATGAGGCTGTTGATAGTCATTCATAAAAAATTAACCTGAAAACAACAGTAAGCTTGGTCTGACAATAATAAACTTGATATTATACTTTAGTATTGTAATTGAAAGTTGAAACATTGCAAACACAAAATTCGCTTGGACTGTTAAGCTCAACCACAATTACCACATACTAAAGTTGAACCTGAACAGAAACATAGGCTCTTGGTTGGAACATTGACAAGCAGAAATTAGAAATTTGGAAAATAGTAGCTAAAGCAGTAAATTTTGTGAATGATATATGCTCAACCCATGAAAGATAGAACCGATTACTGAAGGAAAAATAATTTAAGTTTGCATCACTTCCTTTGCTGGGTCTATAAATTGTCTTGACCATTTACGTGCTTTCCCCTGGGTCCATATGCATATGCCATCTTCAGATAAAACAATAATTTGAACGTCGGTACTCTATTCAGCAACAATATTAACATTTACTTGGACAGTTGAGGGCAATTAGTGTGTTTCATCATCCTTTTTTATCAGGCAAAAAATATGGTAACTAGGATACAAGATTCCACATCATTTTACTAATTAACTGTTTAAAAGATATTCAAATAATCCCTGTTTCTTCCCACGCGTGAATGTAAGACAGTAGACAACATGTGAAAATCATGGAAACACCATGAAAACAAAATGAATTAAACTAGCTTTTAAATCTTGAGGAATATGAAATTGGAAAAAAAAATGAACCACAAGTTATTTCTTGTACGCAAAGTGTGCCTTTAAATCCACTTAATCTCAATGGACTTGAGCATGCACTCTGAATCTCAATTTGTTTCTAATTGATGTAGCATTTGATGAGTGGATGTTTTCATTTATCAAACATTAGGAAACCTACTAATATGACAGATATGGATTTTGAAGAATGTGAAAAAGTTATCCCCATGTTACTTATCTATGACTTATATACAGGAGAAGCCCTTTTAATTTCCTTATATATATAAATTATATATTTTACCCAAACATCATTTAAATACAGTCTCAAGTTCAGGAAACTAAGATCACCACCAACTCAACTAAATTTCACAAACCTGATCCACTAAGACCAGTTAACCAAATGACACAGCCCTTTTGCTGAAGTAACTTTTGCCTATCAAGTTTCTGAACTGGAGTTTCATGCCACAAAATATTTGTCGATTTCCCCACATTTGACATCTGGCCGAGATTACTACCTGTATACATAACAAATTGTAGAAATTAGAGCCCTAACATATGATCATGTATTCGATCGCTGTAATAGAGAAATCAAGGGCGAGTAAGCAGCGTTTATCAAAAGCTTAGACACAAGTCTACTGAAGTCCACGAGAATTTCAGTATCGCTTTAAAAGAGGGGAAAATCAGAGACAAAGTCTTCTTTATATAACTAAAAGAAGACTCAGATCATTTGAGCGTAACAAGTCGAGCGAGAAAAGGAAAAACAAAAAAATACGAATAGAAACAAAATTCCAGATAACACTTACTGCTGCCTTTATTTATTTTGCTTATTTGAGCTCGCTAGCTTTTTCCTGCCCTTTATTCTCGAGTTTCACCTTGCATTAGATCTTCCGGATTTGTTTATCGATAATCGGAACAACATTACGCGAAAGCCACGATGTTTTATTATTATTATTATTTTATTTCCTAGGAACCGCTCAAGACTCGATACTCATTGCCATCTTTTAGCATATACCAGGATAGGGAGATTCTGAGCTGACCATTTAGCAGAACATAGAATTTTGTCATTGCTGTACAGTCTTTGGAATCATTTTTCATCATTCAAGTGTTGAACTGATAATCACTTTGTAAGGCAACTGATGGCATTCTTGCCTGTTTTTCAACGATAAATAAAGTCCACGGTTGTGATTAACCTCATGCAACATCGGCTGTTATATTTATAACAAATCTGGTTGAAATTTTATAACTCGAAATTGCTAGCTAGATATCTTCCGGAAGAGGGGAAGAACAACAAAGAGCAAGAAAAACATAGCGGAAAAGGCAGGCATCCAGATCTAAAAGAAATTCAACTTCAGAAAAAAAATAATCTGAAAGTTAGTACCGGAATATTCAGTACAATCATCAACTAAAGATGCGCCAGAGTCATCCTCCGCTTTAATCGGCTTGAAAAAGTTTGACCTCACGCTGTTACCATACAGGCTCAAACTTTTACGACTGCGGTCTAATCCAATCACATTGCTTTCGACAAGCTTCATAAATCGTAACATCTCAGCCGTAGACGGCGGAGACATCGCACACTGTCTACAATCGGCATTCTGTATAAATCCAAAACAACACCGTGATCGGAATGCTAGAATGGCGCTCATCTTCGCCAACGAAGATAAGTCCACTGTAATATCACGATTCTGCCAGAACATAGAAGAAAGGAGAGAATCTGAGGAGAAGACCGAGTGAAGGCGGTGTAACCGTTTTCAGTTTCAGATAAGAAACGCTCATGTCTGTATGCGATGTCTTCAAAATTGGACACTCAGGTGACGCTGTGCATATTTACAAGTGACATAAGTTATACCAGGATCAAAATCAAGAAAATATTATATTTATTTTGATAATATTTCATTAAAATATTAATAATTTAATAAATATAATAATTCAAATATTATTATTTACAAATCTCTACACATAATTTACAAGTTAATTTTTGATATTTACAATTTCTTCATTGTAATTAAGAGAAGTTAATTGGTATTAATTTTCTTACACGGCGATGAATCCAAAAACAAGTACATGGAGGGAAAAATTGAAAACTACTTAAAATATGGGCGCTTGACACTAATTTTAACAATTAAAATTAAAAAAAAAATTGAAGGGGTAGTGAAATTGGGGGGATGACTCCCTTGGCCCCCCTTACATTCATCCATGTTCTTACATTGTACTTATTTATAATTTTGGATCCTTTCTATAATTATTTGTTTTTTTATGATTTTCTGATTAATTAATGATTAAAATTAATTTTTTATTACAATTGGACAACATGGTATTATTTTCAAATATTGAATAGAAACATTACACTAAAAATAATTTTAAGATCTTAGAAGTTACTAGAACTATAGTTTAAGAATGAATTTATCCATTAACTCTAATTTTTAAATAAGTCTAAATTGTGATTCTCTCAAATTATTACTCCTTGCAGTCCTAAATATAGGAATAGCATAACTGATTTACAAAGATAAAAAAATAATTAAATTAGCTATTTGCAAAACATATGGGCGTTGGTTTCTATAAAATGCCTTACTTAATGGTTTACATTGGAAATTACTCTTTTTTGGCCAAAAAAAAATAGAAATTACTCTTAAATTTGGGAACCTCTGCAAACATGTGCAGTCAATAAAAATAGCTTGGAAAAAAAAATACTCCATTCATCCCAATTTATAAAATATTTTTTTTGGTGATTCGTTGTCTCAAAATTTAAAGCTCTTTAATAAAAAATAAAATTTTATTAATTATATTTGTTTTAATATTATCATTCTCTTCTTATTATATTTTCTCTCTCTTTAATGTTCCACAAATAACATTATATTATGAGAAGGACATTTTTTAAAATTTATGTATGTGTTTTTTTTAAAAAAATAGATTGTAAATTTATTTAATAAAATTTATTCATATGCGTAATTTTGTCAATAAAATATCTTATAATCTAATAGAGGAAATATAAATTTTAGGGGCAAATGAAATTAATATCTTGCATTTATAAATTAAAATTAAAATTAAAGCAAATTCATCACTCCTGCATACAATGGCAGAGAGAGTATGAGAAAGTTATTAAAAATTTTATTTAAAAATAGTACTCCCTCCATCATATATGTTATGAGATATTTTTAAATAAAATTTTATATGCTAATAATTTTCATTAAACATACTTAATAACTTTTTTTAAAAATAAAAATATAAATTTTTAAAAATACTTTAATTAATATTAAATAGAGAAAGAAAAAAATAATATTTAAATAAAATTATTTAATAAAAATTTAATTTTTTAAAAATATTTTATATTTTAAAATGATAATTTTTTTTAAGTGTACGAAAGAAGTATACTTTTCCCTATTTGTAAAGGAATAGACATTCGATTAGACCCACTGGAAGCCTGGAAAACGACCGTTAAGTCAGGTCACTATGGATCTATAATGCGATCCTCGTTCATCGCAATCACTCCCACTGAGTTTGTTTTGACTTGACGTTCTTTGGATTTCCATTCCATTGGCAGTTAGAGTACACGCGAAACACTGCACGTTATGTCTTCATCTCGCAGTGGAAAACACGTGAGGGATTGCCTTTTTCAATTTATCCTTTTTTAATGAAATTGCTATCGTTTATTTACAATAATTAGATTAATTAATTGAAATATATGCAACCAAGTTGATTTGTATTCGGAATTGTCCTCGATTTAATGCGCGAGACAACTCATAATTTGTCTGATATTGCACGGAAAGATTTGCAAGATCTGCACAAAATCTACACTGATCTCCTAATGGAAAACACGTCGTACATCTGTAAGGTTGTTGCCTTGTGCTTTAATCTTTTCTGAATTTGCTGTCGTTTTATTTATAATCATTAAATTAATTAAGATGATTTAGATAAGAAAACAAATGCAATCAAGATAATTTATTTGGAATTTTTTATATCTTCCCTCACTAATCACTATGAAGTTTGGACTCTTCCCCAAGAGGACCTACACATTAAGCCCGTGCATGGCATTTTGTCCCGGGGCTAATTCCTATATTGTTAGTGCTAAAACTTAATGATATGTTTATATATATATATATGAATTTGAATTTAAGTAAAATCTTTTATTTGAACAATTAAAAAAATCATAGATTTGAATCACAATTTTATCTTAATTCCTTTTCTAATTTGAAATATTTTCAAAACTCATATTATTTTAAATCTGTCGGTCTCGCTCCCCTTTTGTGAATGGTTCTTATCTCTTGTTCTCAGTCAATTATTTTTAAAAGAATTTCAATTACATAGATTTTAAACGTGATATTTTAAATTTAAAATTCAAATCAAAATTCATTAATTCAAACACTATTTGAAATTTTTTTAAGGGTGAAAAAAGCAAATCTATAACATTCTCTTATGAAGAAAAAATTAATTTTTTAATTCTTTAACTTTTAATTCATTTGTAATTCAATTTTTCAACTATGACTCATTGCAACTCAATTTCTCAACTATAACTCATTGTAACTCAATCCCTCAACTTTGGTTCACTTATAATTCGATACTTATTTTTTAATTTTTTTTAAAAAAATTTCTTATCAAATAAGAGGGATAAGAAAATGCTCATATATTATTTTAAAATACCCTCCTCCTGCTCATTAATGTGAGATATAAGCTAACATGAAAAAAAATTAACAAAAGCTCAGGCACTAATTTGTAAGTGATTCAAAAGTTGAGGAATTGAGTCATAGGTGAGTCATAGTTGAGAGATTGAGTCACAGTGAGTCATAGTTGAGGGACTGAGTTACAAGTGAATTAAAAGTTAGAGAACTAAAAGATTAATTTTCTCACCAATTTATAAATTATATTTAACTAATTCAGACAGAGTAAGAAAATCAGTGGACATGAGTTCTTCAAGTTGAAGTTCATTACCTCAATTTTCTCGAAGTGCATAAAATAAATGTATCTTGAGAAAATGCTTTGAAGAGCATAAAAGGAAATTATTTGCTTCCATGTTCGTTTTATTGTCCTTGGACTCGATCTCCCCTTTCTGCTACATCGGGGCTGTGGTTGTTGGGCTTTGGCCCCTTGATCTGATGCTTATGGGCTTCCGAGCTCCTTATCTCACAGATTTATCCTGTCCAACTTTTTGAGCTCGGCCCAGTTTAATCTTGGTGCCAACAAGTTTTGTATTTAATGTTGTGCTACCTCGGCTAATATATAATATATATGTCACATTTTAAAAGAAATGTGGATTCCCAAAAAACATGAACTGAATTTTTAAAAATTTAAAAATATGTCTGGTTCACACTAATATACAAAAAGTTTATCATTAAAAATTTAAAAATTTATAAAAAAATTTATCATTTATATACAACGGTAAATTATTGACAAATATAATAAATCATTCATGATGTAAAACATAATAAATATTAAACTGTTTGTTTGGATTGTTTTTATAACATAGGCTATGTCTACAAACGCTCTAAAAAATTTATAATCTTTTTTATAAGTCATTTTATATCACATGTGAAGATTATGTATTTAATAAAAGTAAATTGATAATTTTTATTTATTTTTTAAACAATGTCAATAATTTAATTATTTTTCATTGATTCAGTGATGTAATTAGAAGTAATTTATATATAGAATTGGATGGAGTACATATCAAAAATAAGTTTTCATGAAATATACGCTATATTGGATGTTATATTATATTCCCCTGAATCTTAATATAAACGAAGTCTAAAAGTTTTTTGGTCTTTAATTATAAGAAAAAGTTAGAGTAATTAATATTTATATTCCTAATCTATCACTTGCTTATTCATCAATGCTTGAATTCCTAAACAAAAATTTATTATGATTATTAATTGCAAGTAAGTGTACAATTAGAAAGTTGTATTTTTTTTAACAATTTTAAAGATATCACTACCATTTCTTAATAAGTGTAAACCTAGTTAATTTTGCCTTATATTAAAAATTAAGAAAATATATTTGATATAACACGATTCTTTTGTCACCATCCATTTTCAATGGCCTCTTGACACCCAACCAAAGTTTGGGTGACCCAAGCCTCATGTGAAGCATGTTCATAATTCTACTTGCTTTTCAAGGAATATGATGCATTTCAATTTCTCCATTCTGTGAATCACGTGTCAAGCGTCCATAGAAAACAAATTGTGGACATCTGATGCATGATTAATGATTGATTCTGCATCCTTGGTGTTCAACAAAATTGAAAGTGACATTGATCAAAAGTAAACACATGTTAAGTGTTTGTGGCTATTTTAATTAAAGAAAACATTCGCTTCAGCCACTCCACCAATTGACAAATACCCCATCAATTTTATTTATAAGATATTTTTTAAAAATAATTTTTGATCTAATAAATATAATATTTTATAATAATTAAATCACTTTTTTAAAATGTTATCTCTTCTTAATTAACATAAAAATATTTAATATAGTCATATTATTATTTAAAGTTAAAGATAAAAATGAAGGTACCTCTCACTTTTTTATAATATTAAAAAAACTAAAATTTTTTAAAATACATAAAACGGTTAAAAATATCTTATAATAAGGATTGAAGGGAGTATTTTAGAAGTAATTTCATAGCATTTAATACCCCAAAAGTTTATTGTCATGAAGCATTGTTGGCGAAATGAGATCGCAGGCCTTTTTATTGATATATTATAAAAAATTAAAAAAATTACTCAAATGCTACACCATGAAGAGTATTTACTAAAATGTTATACTAAAAATTGTTCCGACCAAAAATGATTTTATAGTTGTGAAAAAATCGTTTACACTGAGAACAATTTTTTAGTCAAAAATTATTTTTTATTTAATAAAAAGTGAAATCGTTCAAGTCAAGAACAATTTCAACTTTTTTTTATTGACATAACATAATATTCACTATTAATTATGGTAATATCTTACTTTCCCTCATCATTATCATCACCTTTTTTTTACTTTTTCCAAACTTACTCATTTCAAGTTTTATTACATGCCACCTTCATCATCATTCATTTTCAACTCAGCCACTTCTACTCATTTTGAATCGGAGCCTTTACTTGATGATCCCATATTATTTTGGACTAAATATAACACTTCTACTTTTTTACATGGTGGAACATCAAATAAAGCATACGTCACCCATCAACGATCGATTTCTTTAATTGAATCACCTTAGTTTGATTTAAATATGCTGATTACACAAATAAATGAAACATTTGAATTTCAAGAAAATGAAAAGAAACAACAACAATAACAGTCACAACATATGAGAAGGAGAACGATGTGGTGTCGAAAGTCATTATTTGTAAGATAAATTAATTTTTACTTTTTATTCATATAGCTTTATCATTTATTATTAATTTATTTAAATTAAAATTATCAATCATTTTTAGGCTTTATGAGAATTAATAATAAATGATTAAGTTATATGAATGAAAAGTGAAAATTAATTTATAAAACAAATAGTGACTTCTGACACTATATCTTGTCCTCCTTCTCATATGTTGTGACTGTTATTGTTGTTGTTTCTTTTCATCTTCTTAAAATTCAAGTGTTTCATTTATTTGTGTAATGAGCATGTTTAAATCAAATAAAGATGATTCAAATAAAAAAATTAACCGTCGAGGGGTGACGTATGTTTCATTTGATGATCCACCTTGTAAGAAAGTAGAAGTGCTATATTTAGTCCAAAATAATACGGGATCATCAAATAAAGACATAAATGATTCAAAATGAGTAGGAGTAGGTGAGTTGAAAATGGATGATAATGAAGGTGACATGCAACAAGATTTGAATTAAATAAGTTTGGGAGAGGTGAAAAGGGGCAATTATAATGATGGAAAAAAGTAAGATATTATCACGACAGTGAATATTATATCATGTCAATAAAAAAAAATTAAAATCATTCTTAATTTGAACAATTTCACTTTTTATTGAATAAAAAATAATTCATAACTAGAATATTGTTCTCAGTGTGAACCATATCTTCACAATTATAAAATTGTTATTGATTTGAATGATTTCTAGTGTAGTATTTTAGTAAATATCTTTTAAGGTGTAGTATTTAGATAATTTTTTTTACTATTTATAATGTATTGGCCAAAAAAAAACTGAGATCGCATCCCACCTTCGACGCGCATTGATGATATCCCAAAGCTTCTGCTGCCTGTGAATAAGTCCGTAACTACTTTGCAAGAAGCAGGGGATCCATATTCGTTACCAGCTCAGATCAGAGCCCACGTGAGGTTATCAGGATTAAAGGAAACCGGCTTTTTTCAATTTTTAATTGAGGAAAAAAACAAAGAAAAAGTCATTGCAGTTAAAGTCAACTACTCAAACACTCCATTCAAGTCTCACTCTTGCTACAGATATTGCTGTCACTCTTCCTCAACTATCAGTGGCTGAAGCTGTGGAATGAAGATGCTGCTGTCATGACTTGTAACTGTAAATTTTATATTCTTATATTCAACAAATTCTTCACCGCTGGAGGCTGAAGCCCTCATTCTATTAGTAGCGTCATCCATGAACATGGAAATCAAAAAACATCACGAAAGATTCAGTGTTGGAAATTGAAAGCAAAGAATTATAAATTGACCCAGAAGAGGTGGCTTTTTTAATTGAAATATTTTGTGGAAAAATAGAAAACGACCAATCAGAAGAAGAGTTCTTCCGAAGGATAACATTAATGAGCAGCATCACTTCAATTTCTCTATGTACAGCTTCATCATCTGAGTTTGCTCTGTGCATTCCAACTCAATTCGACGCAGAAGTTGATACACGAAACGCATTCTTAAGTCCATTTATCAGCTTCTGGCGAAATGTCTTGGCCACTTTCGGAGCTCCATTGAACTCTTCAGGATTCTCCGTTCTGCTATCAAACCGAAAGCTCGACGATGAAATAGATCCTCTTTGTCCTCTTTCTACTTTATTTCCATTATCGCTCGGCACGTAATGGAAACTCTTTGGCCGTTCCGAGTCCAACAACTTGCTCCGCCTCCCCTGCTCGGCTTGAGAGCTCTCGAGCAAGAGCTTCTTCATTCCTCGAAGCTCCTTCTCAAGGCTCTGAATACGAGAGCTAGTGGACTCCATCGCCGCCCGGAGGTGAGCAGAGTGGTGAATGACGGCTTCGTGGTGGAGATGCTCGCCAAGCGTGGTGGAGTTCCGGTCTAGTTCGGAACGATGGTGTCGGTACGTCGTGGCGGCGGCGGCGTCGCTGTGGTGGTCAAAAACTGCGGCGGCAGAGACGATGGAGTTGCGAGTGTTGAGCTGCTCAACTAGCATGGCTCGGATTATGAATCTCAAAGGCATCCTTGGGTTTTGAACGCAATCAACTAGCGTCTTAGGTGAGAGCCTCGTGCAGTCTATGCAATTGCAGATCTCAGCCTTTTGTTCTTCTGCTAGTTTCCCAAAGTTGTTTTCCTTCAGCAACACAAAAAATAAAAAACAGATTGTGAATACCCTACTCTAATTTTAAAACTTTTTAAAATCTTTCATTTGACTTTGGTACGCAGATACCGACATGATCAGTCTCTCTTCATTTTTTTTCCTTCATTTTCCTCCACCTTCCCCATTCTCATCATTCAAATTTTTTTATTAAATAATTTTTTTAAATAATAAAATTAATAAATGATAAAGATAAAAAAATGAAAAAAAATGAAGAAAAAGGAAGTGAAGACCCCACTTCCCATACGGTTACTATGTCACCATAAAAGTGGGGTCGATCTCATCATATTCTATTTTAAGTTTAAATAAAAGAGAAATTATCATGCATTTTTTTTGTTTTTATTTATAAACAAAATTATAAATTTTAAAAATATTTTCACATTTTTTAAATTTTTTTTCATAAAATTAATGTTTATTTTTACTAGATAAATTTATTTTATTAATTATAGGAATAATTTAATTCAATTTTTTTAACTTCATTTATATCTAATCAATTTTTTAAATTATAATTTAATTTTTTTATATTTAAAAACGAAGGAAGTACTATATTTTGTTGTTATCTATAAATATATATATATATATATATATTTATTTATTTATTTGAATTAAGAGCGACATTTCGTCCAAATCAACCTAATTTATGGACTAAAACTTAATAACGAGAATCTAATTCAAGGTAAACAAAAATAACAATATAATAAGAACCAAATTAATAGTTTAACTACGAAAAGTTGATCATAAATCGTAAGCAATTCTAGATATTAAGTTAAAAATCACATACACTTAGGTATTTAATTTGAAACCCAATAAATTAATGAAACCACCTTAAATAAAAATTCTTGGGTTTTTATTATACTTTCAATGAATAATACAACGTGCAAAAATATAAACAGTATATGAATAAGTTACCAAAGCTTTTATTTGACTTCGTTGAAATTATACAAGCATCCTATCTATTCTAAAAATATATAAAATTTTACTCATAATAAATATTTATGTTATATTTGAATGTGATTTTATTTTCCATGAAAAGATTATCTGTTTAATTAAGTTTGTGTATATACTCATTTTAGTCAATTAGTACTTCCACTTGATACCTCAAAGTTTACGCCAAAAAACAAAAGACAATTTTCATTTAAAAAAGAATTTATCTGTATTTTTAAAAAAAATTATCCAATTTTTTTTGTTATCAATTATATAAAAAATTATATGATTTATTCAAAATTTAAGCATCTACCAATCTTTTTCATAAAAGATATTAATAATTTCAATATCATAACGACAATTGAAAAAGTATAGTAAATTAGGTGGAGCAAGCTTATTTAAGTTAATCTAAATATTTAAATTATTAAATATTATTTTAAATTATTTTTTAATTAATTTCAATTTTTATATTAAAAATTAATAGTTTAAACTTTTATCCAATGTTTATTTTATTTTGTTAATAATAAAATATAATTTAGATGTTCGGAGGAAGCCAATTTGAATTTAAGTTAGGCCACGATCTGAATCAGCCCAAAATAAATAAAAAATTTAAAATTTTAAGTTTAATATTAAAATTTTTTCATTTTATTCAGGCTATGTGAGATTTGATTTAAATTATTGACTTTATTTATGCATCCATTATATATATTTAAAAAACATCGGGAACAAAAAAAAACAAAGACCCAGTAATAGTTCAAAATAGGGAGGGAATGACACACCAGCACTGGTGACGTGGCGTACCTTGAGGTAAAGATCGACGAGCCGATAGAGGATGTCTTGGTTTCTGAATCGTCGGCACATGGACTCGGCGACCACCAGAAAATCTTGAGGGTGCATCGCGACGACGTCGTCTAAACAAGTGATATCTTCGATATGTCCACCCTCCGCTAAAATAAGTGCTTCAACACATCTACTAACAAGAAACGCCGACGTTTCGGCCTCCGGCAGTAGAGGCAAGCACGAACGCAGCACCATAGACGCGTACTCTTGATTAATGGCAATCACCCCCCTGAAATACGCTTCCGTCACCTGACCCAAATTCTCTTCGTCGTCTATGCCTCTGGCTTCCGTCATGCCCAGCAATTCCGTCGCTGTCCTGAGGGCTGCGACATTGGACGGCGTTATCTGAACTTCGGAGCCGTAACAGAAATCGGCTATGGAGGTGAAGGTCTCCGCCGTTATGCTAAACGGTGGAGAGAGAGTGAAGTCGGAGACAACTTCCGTTAAATGTCGTTTCAGGTATGAGCTTCGTGATGTAAGACGCTCCTGAAAAACCAGAAAGCGCAATTAGTGTTAGGGACATTAACAGCACAAAAGCGAAGCTCACATTTTTATGCACATTAAAGCAGTGCAGTGCGATGCCCCTCCGTGTTGTCTTTTATAAAAGCAAAGAACCTTGCAATGAAATTGTTCCCTGAAAGTGATTAACTTTACAATCAGATGCCTAATCGCTGTAGCTTCCACTAATTAAATCTCACTGGGGTTTCACATGTGGGGTTCTTCATTGTCTTCTTTCGTAAGAGAATATATATATAACGACAAATTTTGTTCTCGGCCAAGAGAGAGAATAAAGAAGATTGAGATTCCACAATCCATATTGTGCAAATTGTTCTTGCTTGAGAGATACTCATTGGAAAATAATCATATTAGGAACAAGAATGAAGCCCAATCTAAAATCTAAAGCACCCTCTCTGCCTTTGGGTTCACAAAAACAGCTAGTGAAGCTTGAATTTTTCTAAAAGTTGAATTTTTTTCCACTAGGGTAGGCACATTCAATGACTTGTTTTGCAGGCCATATCATTAACAAAGGAGATTGATCCCACATGCGGTAAAATAAAATGCTTCATGTCAAATCCTGTATTGCCAAAATTTGCAGCCAACTACAATCTCGGTGATCTAAGGCACAATCTGGCCACTCATCAATCCAATAAGAGAAAATTACAGTTCGTGCCACGAAGAAATAGTTTTTTAATTCAAGCACTAGAGAAAGGCAAGCTAGATTATGTTTCAACATTCATGGCAGGCAAAAGACAGCAGAAACAAAGAGCATTCTCTGATTAACCCAACCTAATCATACTCAACCAGTAAACGACAACTGTGGATCCGATCAACAGACCTTGTGCAGACGAAAACATGTTCCTTGTACTCGTATCAAGATGTCTGTTTCACGCCCGGTGGCGAGAGACCTATTATATGTTTGTGATGGAAAATATTATTAAACACCAAAAAGATGAGGGCAATTGATTTCATTATATCAATAATTGAAGACTGAATTAAAAAATTCCAAAAAAGAGGGGATTAAGAAAGAGGAAGAAGAGGAAATTACCAAGCCTCGACTCTGGAGTGAAGGGGCGTGTGAGGAGAGAGAAGGGAAGGAGAAACAGAGGGAGAGGAAGAAGACGAGAACTCGCATTCTTCCTCGTAGATGGTCTCAACGACACCTAAACTGCCCCAATTTCTGGTCTGCATTTCTTGCCTCTCTCTCTCTCTCTCTCTCTCTCTCTCTCTCTCTCTCTCTCTCTCTCTCTCTCTCACTCACAGAGGAATCACACAGTTCTCAAAGATTTTTGAATGCTTCAAGGGATGGCCATTAGGGTTTTGGAGGTGGGGCGAGAATTTGTTTGCAGGAGTCATAAATTGGGTTTGGGAAGGGCATTAATGACATGCATGTGAAGGCTCATAAATGCCCACCTTAATATTGTTTCCCCTCATATATATATATATATATATATTAAAAAAAATATTATGTAATGTTTGTTAGGAGTAGAGTGCTGTGATATTGAAGGGGCAAGATATTCGGATTGTGATCCAAATTATCTGGGTTTGGGTGATTCCGAATCATCGATTCTTTGCTTTATGTTAGAGAATAAGAAAGAAGCGACTAATCGTAGACCTATTGGCTTCCATTGACAATTCTGTTCCTCTTCTTCACTGGTGAAAATGAAAGCTATTAGTTTTGCACTCGGAGCGCTTCTCAACGGAAACAGACAGACACATGTGTCCATAAAGGAAGGGACGGTTTCTCTATCAACATTAACTACTGTATTCGGCAAAATTAAATTGAGTAAGTTACATTTTAAAAAAAAAAATCATTGCTATTATTTAGCTTTTATATACATGATTTTATAATATGATGACCATCATTGTCCAATACTACATGATAAAATTCATGAAAAAGACAATGTCTATAAATTATGAATTGTAACTCTGTAAGTATAACTAACCGACGTGTAACTTAACTAGAGATTACTTAACTTAATCATTGGTCTTGACTTTAAGCTTGTGTGTGCAATCATATTGAATGACGTGAGTTTTGTCGCCATTGTATCTAGATTTATTGGAATGCATGCAATATGAATTGCAGATTTCCGTTGGTGATTTAGTGCCAAAAACAAAATTAAGAATTGTGCGGATTATTCAAGCTCACAAGGTTTGGATCTCTTATTTAGTTTTAACTACTAAGTAGGTGTATATTGGATTCAACAAAATTAAACCGGGTAAAAGTCACTTTTAAAAAAATCACCGTAATTATTTAACTTTTATGTATTTTTTTGATATATGAGAATAATCATTATCGTATCAATCCACATAGAATAAAATTTATGAAAATGACATTATTTATAAATCATGTACTATAACTAAAGAGTGCGTGACTTAAATATTAGGAATTTTGTTAACAAAATTATTGATTTCGAATTTGAGTTTGTATATCTAATTGTATTAAATATTTGTTGGGAAAATTTTATCACTTTTGTAGTTCTTCTCAACTAGAGCTATACTTGTTAGAATGCGATGTGACTTCCATATATGGAGAGCAATTTAATACCAACAAGAAAGTTATGAATTGGACAACTCGCCTCAAGCTCACAAAGTCTGGACCTCATAATTTAATTATTCTATAAAATAGGTGTATATTTCAATTAAGGAAATTAAATTAAATCATGAACTAAATTTTGTGTAAAAGTATTTTTGTACACATCATGTTAGATGAAATAATAATATCATGACGTATTTGAATTAATAAGGATTTGGATACATAAAAATTCATGAATTTAAATTTATTTCAAATTCAAATCTATTTTAAATTATGATTCCTTTGTAATTTTAAATTCCATCAATACTCTATTTATTTGACATTTTTATCATTTCAAATATCTTGTTTTCTTTACATTTTCACTGTTGATACCTCTATGATTCTCGTATTTTTTTCCATGTCTTATCAATTAGAAATAGAAATAAACTTATCATTTTTAATTTTTTTTGTTTTGAATCTCGGTTCATCTATCTTATTCATTTAAAATTTTTTAAATTGCCTAAAAAAGGATTTTAAATATATGAGTTTTAAATGCGAGATTTTTGTTTGAGTAAAGGGACAAAAATATCTACCAAGTCCAAGTGGTCAGCTAAGAGCATCCAGTAGTCTAAAATAAAAAAAAAGACAAAAATATTCATAACATAACTATTAACTTACCCTAATGTCCACCAGTTTTTAATATTAAATGTTGATTATACTTGCCACATGTGTTAACATGAACTAAAAAGGGGGGTAAAAATATTCATAAAGTTGTCGATCAGGAGCATTAGTAGCATAAAGTTAAAAAAAGTGTATGAATACCCATAATGTTACTTTAGTAGGTGCAATAATGATCAATTTATTAAATCCCTTAAATGTTGATTGTTTAGTTAACACCTAAGAAGAAATTAACTATTTTTTCACTGACATGGATAAAAAATATTCTCAAGTAGAATTTTACATAGGTTGGTCAATTATTGTGTGAATATAATGTGAGAAAATATCATTTTGACTGAATAAAAAGTTAATTGCTTGCTTCTTTATAGCATTACCAGAAGCCAATTGAGGATTTTGAATTTTATCATGAATAAAATCGCTTTAGGTTATGTCAATATTTTTAAGGTAGGTAGCATATAAGGTGTATAAGGTGTGTGTAGTCATAGAGGCATTACGAGTAGAGAAACTTTTTTTATAAAGTGCTTGCATTCTTTGTAATGAACCACAGCCTCTTCATTCTCAATTTTCAATTGCATGCAACCTACCTCACTATGTTGAATCTCAACTTTTGCAGATAAAAAGAATGAGTAAAGAGGGAAAGAGGAAGGGGTTGAGATCAATGGTGGAGCTATGTGTATATGAGGAGGCAAATGCACCCCCTCACATGGAGAAAATTACATAAATTGTACGTAAAAATTACAATCTTATACCCTTAGTTTTATAATTTTGAACTCTCTAGACTTAATAAAAATTATTTAGGCTCAAAAAATTCTTAAATAAATAATATTTTAACTAATATTCCATAAATTTAAATCAAAAAGTTTTAAACTCATTAGACATATTATTAAAAAAAGGAGCAAGAGTTATTTATTTTATAATAAAATACACGAATAACAAATTAAAGTCATCCTTTTAGATAATAGTTTTCTTTTTTTTTAAATTAAACTTTATATTAACTTTCTCAGCATATTTTTTTGTCCAAACAAATCCTCAGTATATTTTTTCCAAATAACAATATGTATAACTTTACTTATGTTATTATATCTTTTGTCTAATGTAATTATTTTTAAAATTATTATAATATTTTTTTGAAATATTAATTTTAAATTGAATTGTCTCACATCCCCTGACTTTAAGTCTTGGTTTCGCCATTGGGTAGGATACCTGGTGATAAAAGAAATCATGTGGCGTGCATTTTGATATATTAGTTATTAATGCACTTACTAAAGTAATGTTATAGGTACTCTTACTTGTTTTCTTACTTTAGGTTACTAGATGCTTCTACCTAATGGCTTTGTTGATATTTTTATTCCCTTTTTTAGTCTACATCAGCATACATTGACATATAGCAATCACAGTTAGTATTTAACACCAAAAACTAATGGACATTAGGGTAAGTTAATGGTCTAATTACTTTTTTCACGTTAGGTTGCTGGATGCTTCTGGTCGACCACTTAGTTGGTATTTTTATCCCCTCTTCCCTTTTTTTCTTTTGGCCAAAAACACTATATATTAGAAAACATAATAAGTCTAACAGTACACTAATTAAGAACAAATGAAACAAAATAGAAACAACACAAAAAATAAACCAACAAAAGCAAAGAACAAGAGGTTCAAACACCATCCAAAGGAGAACATCCTAGAGCGTACAAAGTCACGGTCGAAAATAGTCAATTGTGGTGGGGCCTAAATAGTCCAATCCAAAAAGTACACCTCCTTCCATATTGTAAGAAAGACCTAGTTTGCAACAAGGTTAAACCTTTATAGGATTCACTTAAAGTTACAAGGACTTAGTGTTTGCCCATGATTCAAACAATAATCCATAATGGTAAAGCAATCTGGGCATGATGCAATGTAGCATAGTCTCATAGAAGAGCAATATTGTAGGCATTGATTCAAAGCTTCATCAACACTGTAAGAAAGGGAAATAGTGCACACACTCAAAGCAACACCCTTAGAACAGCTATTAAATGGCGATCAAACCATGAAACCATGACTAATATTATTAAAAGCTTAATAAAAAAACACCACCACATAAAATAAAAAAATTAAAACTCAACGGCCACAAAATTGATATCAACAAACTTGGGCCTCTCATTAGTTGCATCTTGTTCTCTACTATCCACATTTTGCACTTTTGTTGCATCGTTGCACCAGTTATTGGTAGCCCATGGTATAACTAATTCAATGGTAGCAAATTTCCAATCATAATTCAAAACCATATGATCTTTAACAAGCTTCAACACAACAAAATCCTCCATGAAAAAATAACCATTAACTTGATTGATTAATGGAACCATCCTTGCTAATTGAAACACAACAGAGAAAAAGATCTAAAGACAAAACATAACATCCATAATCTTATACAAGGCTATACCTACAAATAGCATTATGCAATTAGATTTAGGAGAGTTAACCATTTATAGAATTGAGGCACCTAAGGAGGTAAATTCACTTGTTGTTCTTCAACAATTTTGAAGACATTCCTCATCAGCTCCTTATACCTAAATCCCTTAAATTCACCAAGCCACTTCTCTGCCTTTGCTAGCTCAACCACATTTGATTCCTTATTACCCACTGCCAAATGCGCCTCAAAGCCATAACTCAAACCTCAACTTGTCCTACATCTATTATGTAAATTGTAATCAAAGTTCTTTTCATTCATCCTTTCTTAGTTTTGAAATCAAGACTCTTTGATTCATCTGTGTGATGAAGGGAGAAACCCTTGGCAATAAAGAAACGTGACCACTTTCTTACCCTGAATATGATTTTAAATTTTAAATTTAAATTTATTAATCCAAATGTTATCTCAAAGAATTGTAATAAAATTTACAATAAAAATGGGAACCAAAAATACAAAATTCCATGTGATATTAAATGTGAAATTTTCACTTGAATAAGATTATGTATGACAAATAAACGAGAACGGCACTTTCTATCCATAATAAATGGCAGTGTTCAAAACCTTGTGTTCGTCGAACTTGAATCCCCTAATATGGTGGACAAATAAGTTGGGCTATGGGAAATGCCCTCTTACCGCCAAGTGGATAGACCACACGTAATTATGGGCTGCTTAATTGAATTTGACAATTCAGATTTAATAGGTTTTAAATATATAAATTAGCCTATACCATTAAAATTTAACATGAACAGTGCAAAACTGAAATGAAGAGAAACTCAACGGAGTAAAACCATGATTGGGCTGATGATAGTGGTTATTAAAGGAAGACAAAAGCTTTCATTGAATCTTAGTACAAGGGAATCTTCTGATAGATTAGATCCATACGAGTTAGCATGGGACACGAGTGAAGCTACTTGCGGAATAGCAAGATACTGTTATGGTGGAAGAAATTCTGGGCATTCTCGAAGAATTACTCATTGAACGGGGAAGTCAGGGAACAATTTACTGTTTTGGCTGAAGTAATAAATATTATCTTGAAATGTGAGAAAGACACATCCTTGCGTACAAGTTATTTTGGACACAAGGATACAGGAACTTTTGACCGAGAGGTTGAATATCAAACTGAAAAAAGTGAAAACCAAGCGTCGACAAGCCAGGTATGGTCAAGTGTCACCCCAGCTTGATGTCTATTTAAGGAACCCATCAAGCCAATCCAATGCTCACATGGTCAAGTTGGGTCTGTCCCTAACACAAAAATAAATATAAAAAATATAATTACCATAATTTAAAATATTCATCATTTTAAAATTATATATATGAAACAATTATTCGTTAATTTTGAAAAATACTAAAACTAAAAAATAATTTCAAATTTAAATTTAAATTTAAATTTTTAAAAATTCCATGATAATTATAAAAAAAAATATTACATTAGGAATTTTAACCCCAAAAAAAAAAATTACACATGGCATGGTTGGGCTGGACTTCAATCACGGTACCCGACTCAATGCCCAACCTAACTTGCCCAAATGACTCAACTAATATATCTATGACTAGGGAGTCTTTGAAGTAGACTTTGACGATTTGTTTCACTCACACACGCTTTATGTTTTTATTTTTTATTTTTTTTTCAATGATGTGTAAACAAAATATAACATTTACATATCTAATCAATAAAAAAAGATATCAATATTCAGGAAATTATCTGACAATATGAACACAAACATGGGAATAGATCCTCTAAAATTGAGAATATGAGAATTTCATAAAAATTGTTTTTAAAAGAAAGGAGGAAAAGGTTTTATGTTCACAGCAAATAATAAAATGAGAAAATATTGATGAAAGAAAGAAAACGAGAAACTGTCTGAAATCGAGGAGTCTCAGTTTTAAAAGATTTGCTTCCCTCAAATCTTTCTCTTCAAGCTTCAGTCCAAAAAAATTTTCGTTCTTCAAAATATCTTCATAAGATTGTTCTATGGTTCACAATACTCCTTGCATGCTTAATATAATCAGGACCTATGAACAATTTTGTATAAATTCAGAAGCTTGCTTAACATTATTGTGAAACTTTCAAGTCAATTCTCCACATTTATTATTTTTATATTTTTAATTTATAAAATCATATCAATTTACTCATAAACTTATATTACAAGCAAACTCAATTAAACTAATGAGTTAACTTTTTGAGTTTATTATGTTATATTTTTAACTTATAAAATTATGTCAGCTTGTTTATAAATTTGGATTAAGTGCAAACTCAATTAAACTCGCTAAATTCATTAATTTTTGATCAACTTAAGCGAATTAGGTATATGTTGCATAGGACTTGGTTCATAAAAATGCTTGGACCCAGTTTAAACCAATATTAATAACAAAATACAACAAGAAAATATCAAAAATAAATTTCTCTAGTTGAGCATAATAACCTGTCAATGTATATGAATTTAATTTCAATAATTTATATTTAAAATATATTTAAATTAAATTATGGTCACAATCTATACTTTAATTATTGAATAATATACTTTTAATGACTAATTATTAATAGAAGTAAACTTTTACAAGTTTATGATATGAGTTTACTATTTAAACTTATAAAATTATCATGAATTTACTTAAATTTATGAGTTTGACAAGTTTGTTGCTTAAACCTAATTAAAATTTCAAAATTTCTCAATTAATAAGAAAACTTTATTTAGTTTCATTGAGATTATCTAATTAGTTAAAAAATATAAAGGCGGTGGAATTCTTGAAAATGTTTAATATTTTTAATAGAAAAAGTATAATTTTGAATCTTATATTTTGCTTGTATTTCATTATAAATTTATTTTTTTAATATTTTAAGTTTTTATATTTTTATTTTTTAGTGTTCTAAATCCCGACAACTTTGTTCATTTAGAGACTTATAACACTAAAAAAATAAAAATATAGGACCAAAAATATTAAAAAAATTACAGAGATCTGTAATAAAATATGAGTAAAGTGTAGAGATTTAAAGTTAAGGTTTTTTTTAATAATTCATCATTATTAAGGTTCATGAAAAAGGTTCTTATGATATAGTGTTTTAATATTTGTAGATTATGTTGGAAGGGATAGATGAACAGTGTCAGATCGCAACTGAGTTGTTATGGGCCAAGTCGGTATAAACTCAATGCGATGAGTTTTTGCGGGTTGGACTACGAAGGACCAGGCCCATTATACATATTAAAAAAGAAGAAGAAGAAGGAAAACTACCCTGAGTTTTTGCCTTTATAAACTTTGCAAACCCTCGGTTTCGTATTTGTTCGCCGTCACGGGTAGCACTGAAAAACCCTAGCCTTTCGTTTGTTGCAGAGGAGAACGAAGATGAAGTACAATCCGAGAGTTTCCAGCTCTCGCCGCAAGAACCGGAAGGCCCACTTTACGGCGCCTTCGAGTGTTCGGCGTGTGATTATGAGCGCGCCGCTCTCGAATGACCTCCGCTCAAAGTACAACGTGAGATCCATGCCCGTTCGCAAAGACGATGAGGTTCAGGTTGTTCGAGGTACCTACAAGGGACGTGAGGGTAAGGTCGTTCAAGTTTACCGTCGAAAATGGGTCATCCATATCGAGCGGATTACCCGCGAGAAGGTAAATGGACAAACCGTCAATGTTGGGATCAATCCATCAAAAGTGGTGATTACGAAGCTGAGGCTGGATAAGGATCGCAAGTCATTGCTTGATCGCAAGGCTAAGGGTCGTGCGGCTGCTGACAAGGACAAGGGAACCAAATTCACTGCTGAGGACATTATGCAAAGTGTTGATTAGTCGGTGAATTTCTCGAATTATTAGATCTCTTTTCAATTAGAGGAAACTGATATTCCGTTTATTAGCATCACTGTGTTTCTTTTTACATTTAAGGTCTTGTGTGTTTTTCTGAACAAATTCCAGTATCTGGAGGCCTTTTTGTTATGCTTTAATGGAAGTTTTGAAATTATTGGTAATTATTGTTTCTTGCATCTTATTTGTTTTTGTTGTGATTACTGCTGAGCTCACTTTAAAGGTTGTGCATATTTTGTGATTTCCATAACCGTAAAGGAGAATCTGATCATGGGAAAGTATGCATGCTCTATGCTCTATTGTTTGGCTCGAACTTATTATTACCGGAGATTCGGCCATGTAATAGAATTACATTCAGTCTTTAATCTCTTTTAATGACATTGAAATTAGTTGGAATTCTGGTTAAGGGATTTGATCACGAATAACAAATCTGAAGCGGTTTAGTACGCATATTGATTTGTTTTCGGTTGGCTTGGATGTTGTTTTTAATTATGCTAATGTTTGCTTTATTGTTGCTAGTTTTCAGATTGCATATAAACTTCATGTTTGCTTGCATTGTCCAATTCAGAACACTATGCCCTTTAATGTTTCGCTTTATTGGTCTAACGAGTTAGAAAGACCATAATTCTTCTTGGCAAGGGGATGTCAATCTGGTTATGGGGTTTTGTGTAATTGGTCATGAAATTGGAGACATCATTTTTTGCTTAATGAAAGTAGTGTGTTGCGAGTTGTAAATGCCAGTCAGATAGGACATAGCTGTATTTCCGTTAAAAACCTTCAGAAATTGAAGAAGCAGAAGCTTATGATGGGTGGAAAATGTTCTTGTTTTGATCGAATCAGCTTTGAATGCTTGGTTTTCCTTCTCTGACTCCCTTAGTTTTTGAGGTAGATTTGGTTCGTGTCTGTGTTGGATGTTTTTCGCGTTTAGGCTTGTATTCATTAATTCTCCAATTTTATTTTTTATATATTTATTGGGGTCAAAACTGTTTTTTTTTTTAAATCTTAAAATGATCATAACTTCTAATCTACAGTAAATAAGAAATCTCGAGTTGCAGATGTGTGCCTTTAGTTTTGACATGTGATAGTTACGCATTAGTGGATTGCATCTCTCTCTCTTCCAACTTGAACTGCTTGCTGTTGGCTTGAATGGTATTATGACCAGGATGATGCTATAAAATAGCTGAAGTGAGCCACAATATCGGCTCGTACTTGTGCAACTTAATGCATTCGTTGAGCTGAGAGGATGCATTATGCTATAGTTGACTCTTTTGAAATGATCAGAGGGGATACCTTCATGAATAAAGCTTCTTGATCTGATTTCATTGTATAATATGATCAAGCAAGTGTTGTAATTAGATTTCTATTGCATGATGATGATTGTCAATCCGGTAAGGAAACAATTTTTCCCGTTTTAATTTTAAATAGCCCGTACTTTATCCAAAAAAAATTTAAATAGCCCGTACTTTATCCAAAAACAAATTTAAATAGCCCGTAACGAACTGGCCTAAGAAGTACTTGGACTGTGTTATGAGTTGTCAACTAATGGGTCAATGGTTACATGTGGGCTCATAAGAAATGGGTTTAATGGCAAGGAATTGGGTATATGAAGGGGTAAAGCATTGGTGAAATACAGAAGGCAAGGGACCACAAAATATTGGTGCATAACAAATTCGAATACCCCTTTGACCTCTATATATGCCAAATATAAAGTCCAACCATAGAGATAGGTTGAATCTTGATAGTGGAGCTGAACAAGCGTCAAGCAGCCATTAACATTCACTCGAACAAAAATAGTAATGAAGTATAGGATCTTGTTGATGATGGAAACAACTCAATGCAAATAGGCACAGCAACTAAACGGGTACCACTTATTTATGGCATAAACACATTGCAAGCCCTCTTTGATTGTAGCCTTACCAGGATCAAAGATGAAATTGGAAAACTCAAGCCCAAAGTAGCAATGTTCAAGCACAACAATTAATTGTGAGGCCTTAGCAACAACATTAAAGCAACAATTTCGATGTAAATTCCCCAGATTAAAATTGAGTTTAGCAATATGTTGGACTAAGCCAGTCCTTAGGATCCTAAAGCAGGTGGCAGGAAGAAATGAGAATGTTTTAGTCACCCCTGATTGCTTTATCCTCAACATACAAAAGAACTCTTCAAAAGAAGGGATGAGTACACCATAGAACATTCTAACATCAACAATGCCAACTAGTACAAAAGCCCTTGTTACCACTCCATTTACATAGTAGGATGCCAACCTCCCAAAAATAATCTCACAGTGTGGAAAAGGTTGCAATGCTGATTCATTTATTCCAGGATTAAAGACTCGTATAGCAAAAAGGAGTGGCATAGAAGTAGTCTCACTTGCATTAAGTAAAATAGCTAAGATGCCATGAAGGAAATGCAAACAACAAAATTCCTTACCATTTTCCAATTTGAATACCAGATTCCAGGGGGGAGTCAATAGTGAAACACCAACAATTGCAGCGGAACTATTGTAGCAATCACACAGAATCTTAGCATGCATAATATGCCAAATACAATTCCCATTCATCTCGATGTCTTTAGGATCACATAACCGAAGGTAGCTTAGAGCCTATAGTTGAAACCAAATCGCAAAACAGACAGATGTACAGCAATTAAATAATTCCAATTGAACAAGATTCTCAATTTGGAGCACATCCCCAAAAGACATATGAGATTCTTTAAAATTGACAAAACTCACACTTGGAGTAAGCAGAGTGAGCAATAGTTGCATAACAAACATGATAGCCATAGACACATAACCCAGTCCAAGTATTTTTTAGGCCAGTTCATTACAAAGCCCATCTATTTAAATTTGTTGTCAAAACTGGGCTCAAGTCCCTTGCTGTTTTACATGAGCGTCTGCATTGGTTTTCAATGGGAAGTTCCATTTGCCACGAATTTATGCGCATTTCACAGTCTTCTGTTTGAAGGAACGAAGTAACAAGAATTAAAAAGATAATAGTTTATTTGGCAGGCAGGTGGATGGAATTTTGATATAAATTTTATTTATCTTAATATATATATATATATATATATAAAGATATAAAGACTAAATGCCTTTTCTTTTTTAAAAGATTTGTTTAACACAAATCACTACTTGAACAGACATTTGCCTTTGATGACAATTACCGATTGGGAAAAAAAAAAGAAATAAATGAATAAAAATAACGTAGCAACCCCGTGAGACTACGGTCCAACGCTTCACTTCTTGAGCAACCTGAAGTGAAGGACTTGAAGCTCACATGGAGAAATCGGAGGCCAAACGTGAGGCCAAGAAATTGAACATTTTTGGTTTCTCGGCTTGACGTCAGAGAACGTGGATGCCACTCGCTGTCCATGACATGCCCATCCGAGAAGCCCGTCTTGGTTTCTGTACATGGAACCTTTCATGGTTCACAATCGCACCTCCATCCAAGATGCGTCCATGATATGGCAAATGTTTTCCTTGGCGTAGATGCCCTAATCTTCCATTATAATACAATGTTATGAGATATTCTACGCTAAATTGAGTACCCATCGGTTTAAGATTAAAAATTAAGTAATTTGTATGTAATTTAAATATTTCATAAAAGGAGATTGGTTTTGTAGAAATTTTATAAAAAGCAAACGTTAATTTATGTTTGATTATAATGATAAAAAGAGTAATTTTTTTTTTGTAAAATAAGCTAAAATAAACAGGCTTTAATACTTTTCATGATATAATAATTGCATATGTACCTATATATTGCATGAAATTGGAGATAAATTAAACTATTGTTGATTTATTGATAGCATGCTTTTCTATAAATAATAAACTAAAATTGGCATTCGTAGTAGGAGCTTTAATTACTTAATTAAATGGTTAGAATTTCAAATCTCAACTATTGTATATTTAACAACTTAGTTAGAAAAAACTTACCTCATGCTTTTAATATTTCATGAGAGATAATTTCTATGCTCAACAGGGCCTACTCTTCGTGCTCATAAAAAAATAATGATACTGATCATATTTTGCCAGGAGTTTTTTTCTTTTCGGACTGAGTAAAATTTTGGAGAGGTGGCAAGTTCAATACAAAGCTAAGATAGCCTTCGACGTGTTTTTCCACAAGTTTTACTCAACCGCGTATTTTAAATTTTAATTAGATAGCATCGAATTGAAAACTTCAAGGGCACTCCGTAGCCCAGTCCAGTCTCGGCCCTATCTGTTCCCCAGGATTTCAAAACACCCAAAATTGTGACATGTGAGAACCATTTGTTTTATATGTCCAGATGACTGGATCAGATTTGAATATTGTCAGACTTAATTGAAAATAGCACTCCCAAAGGTGTTAACGGAGAACCATTTGAATTAGAACAATCTTGATCATATCAGACAGATAGAAAGAAAACATTCCTGAAATCAGGAATTTGAAGAATACATCGCATAAGATTCCTCCAAGCAAATAAAAGAACTTCCTCATCTCACGATGTTTATGGCAAGCGGGAAAGAAGAATCAAAACATTAAATTGGCAAACATAAGAGTGGTTGATTCCAAGACGTTGAAAAATTTTATCCACAGCAATGAAGGAACTAGAAACACGCTCATCTGTGGAACTTATTCAGCCCTTCCTTCCAGGGTCACCCAAAAAAAAAAAAAAATTGAAGCTTGGAATCCTAGTCATGCAATCTAAATAGAAGAATTTCCTTCACGGTTTGAGAGCAATGGCCAATCCAAACCTGGGATTTCTATCTAGGGCCTTGGTGTCAACCTCACCAGAGAGAGTCATCACTGACTTGGGCACGATCTCGTGCTGCAAGAGGGCACCGAGCGTTCCATGATTGTTGACCCTCGCTTTGACCTGTGTCAAGTGGTCAATAGCAAATGAGCCTCCAACCGTGAACGTGTTCTCATTTGTGGAAAATTTTCTAGTGATCTCTGCTACAGCAGCACTCTTCTTGGGTTGGTCTAGATAATGTAAATAGGATGCTCTAATGCTGTCTCCCTTGTCGCCACTGAATAGAAGGAATATGGTTAATAAAAGTTGCAAGTGAATATGGTTACTGTTGCCAGAGGTTTGGAACAATAATCTCGCAAACAGGCAGAGAAATCTTACAGGATTATGGAAGCACAAGAATCAGGCCTTGTCACACTTATCCCAGCAGTGTATTTAG